CCATGATGACGGGACACAGCGTCAAAAAGTACATATCGGTCTCTTTCGTGGGGATCTTAGCGTGAACAGGCACCAGATGTGCCATCTTGCTGAATCTATCAACAAAATTCAGGATCCCGTTCGAGCTTGACTATCGGGCGCAAGACTGAAGATGAATGACATTAAAACTGAACGCCAGGTCTTAGCTGCAATCGGCAACGGTCGCAGGGAAGCTTGCGACGATGGAGATGACTTCACACACTGGCAGATTTCGCACGCTCGAACCCAATTGCGTACCCACTTATACATAAGGGGCCAGAAGAAGTCCCGAGACACAGCCGCGAAAGTCTTTTCGCGGCCTAAATGGCCGACAGCCGGGGCATCGTAGTACTCGTAATTGATCCGAGCACGCAAATTCATGTCGTTGACGATCACCGTGCGAGATCATTGAATTGATCGATGTTGTACAGAAGCAAATCTCCGTCTAAACTGTATTGATGAATTTAATCACGCTTGTTATGTGATAGAGCTCCCAGTGCGACATCACTGGGAGCACGCAGATAAGCGATAAAGTCCACATAATCTGGATCGTTCTTGTAAGCCGCGACGATCTCGTCGAATAAGCACTGCTCGAGTGTGACCCGAGTTAGATTCAGCGATACACACATCGCACATCGATCATCATTATCCTCGTCATCAGTCGCCTGACGACATAGCGCAGTACGAGGATCGCAATCGGGACGTCGTGGCAGAGCGTCGGCAAGTATTAGTCTTTCCCGGCTTGTAGTGCACGACAAAACTAAGGAGAAAAGCCACCATGCCATCCGTTAAGACAGGTGTGGACTCTTCACCGCTGTGCGAAGCGATTCATGGTCAGTATACAAAGCAAATGTAAGCTCACTAAACAGATGCACGCGAAAATTAGAAGGTGTGTAGCGCATCGCTAACAACTCCTTGTCGTAAACCGAATATTTCTTCTCATCTGCCTTCATCTATCGCGACTGATATGTAGTGGATTCTCAAACAAAGTAGTAGATCCACAAAACACTTAGCACCGGACTGTCGACTTAAGAGGGAGAGCCCCGATATTGTGTCGCGTCAACCTTGGGTCTCATTTTGTGTACCCGTCGACTTGGCTGGTCTTGCTCCTCGTTAGACGCAGAAGACTGATAGACTTGGTTCTTTTGTAGAGGGACTTGGTGGTCCCCGAGTGGATATGCTTCACTCGGGACCGTTTTTTTTTGTTTTTCGATCGACTGAGTCGAGAGAAATGCACCTGGTTCTATGTACCCCTTTGGTGGATGACTGTTCTTGGTCCTTGGACCCCTTTGCGTTTTCCCCCCGTAGATAAAAAGCTTCCTGCAGCGAATCGTAGAGTCTTGACACTTGTTTGACACCTCAGGCCAACTATCCTGAGGTTTAACTTGCGTAGATTGAGCCTTTTAACACTTGCTGACATCGGGGGGCCAAAGGGTATCCCGCCGGAAGAGGTGATGCGACGGAGAAGCTAAGAGGTGGCGCTTAGAGCTGCCACGTGTAATGCAAATTTGAGCGTGTTTATTCATCTTATTCTCTATATGCTTTTCTTGCCTAATCCTTCGCTCTAGATGGTACCACGTGTCAACTTGTGAAAAAGCAATGTGCTCTTTTAGGATATGGGAATTGCACCGACGCTGCACTTTAGGGAAACCTTGTACCTTCTATAACCTTGGGTCCTGGTCGCCTGGGGTACCAAGTCACCTTGAGTCACCCTGGTCCACTGGGTCATCCGGGTTACCTGTTCACCTGGTCACCTGAGGTTCCGGGTCACTTTGGGTCACCCTGGTCCACTGGGGTACCGGGTCACCTTGGGTCACCTTGGGTCATCCGGTTCACCTTGGGTGCCGGGACCACCTTGGGGCCTGGCCCATTTGGGGTGCCGAGGCCACCTTGGGAACGTGGACTACCCTCAAGGCACTGTACCCTCTGTCTTCAGGACCCTGAACCTTCGGTACCCCTGTCCCCGGTGACTGATACCACTGTCCCCTATAGCTGGTCTCCCTGTCCCCGATAGCTGGTACCCCTGTTCCTGGTGACTGTAGACCCTTTCCGGTAACTGGGACCTCTGTCCTTGGCGACTGGAAACTCTGTACCTGGTAACTGGAAGCCCTATTCCCGATAACTGGTACCCCTGTCCTTGGTGACCATGGGCTGAACCTTGGGACCTTGCGAGACGCAATCGTGGTCATTCCCTCGAGGGAGTGACCTAGGTTTCTGTGACCCCTATTACGATGTTCTCAGGGGACCCGATTCTCCTGGCACTTCTCCATCGTTCACGGCCCTCATCATCAAATTGCATGAGGGCGCAACCAATTTCAAAATCACTGGCATTGCATACCACGCGGAACGGCTTGAAGTCGTCCGGTAGGACTAGCAGTGGCGCTGACGCCAGGCTCTTAACTGCATCGAAGGCTGCTTAATGCTTGGGAAGCCACGACCATGCGGCGTCTTTCTGCAGGAGTGACGACAAAGGCTGTATAGAACCAGCATAACATTTTGTATACTTATGCAAGTAATTAGCCAAGCCGATCCACTGGCGCAACTCCGTAGGGTTCTTGGGCGTGGCCAAGAAAAGATTGATGGGGTTGCCTTCTCGAGATCCCGACTTACTCACATAGCAAGCAAACACCGGAATCTCTTGCTCACAGAAGAAACACTTCTTAAGATTCTCATCATCTTGTTGTCTCGCATAACTTGAAACACCTAATTCAGTTGTTAAAGGTGAACTTGGACATCGCTGATTTTGCCCTCAGCTCGACTGTGGAAGAAGGTTTCGTCGAAGTAACGCGGAGCAAAGTTTCGAAGTGGTCTCAACACTTGAAACACCATGCGATTGAAAGTGGCCGGAGCGTTTCTCAATCCTTGTGGTATAACCAGCCACTTCTATAAAAAAAACCCTCGGAGTGCTCGCCGCTGTGAGTGGGATATCGCTCAGTCGCATAAAATCTGATAAAGTCATCGAATAAGTCGATTGCACGGAAGATGACACTTCCTGGCATGGAATTTAGCACTATGTCCTTCTTGGGGATAGGTGTTTACGCAAAGATCGTGGCATCATTTATATGATTAACTGCATGCACTATCCGGCGCATCCCGTAGCCTTCTTCCACGCAGAAGGTTGGACTCGAATGTGGTGAGATACTTTCACGCACATGACCCGCTTTGCGGCGGCCTTCGGAGAATGCGTCAACAGAATCTACTTGATCTCGAGGGAACGGCCACTACCGTGTCACAAATCCTTAGACCCTGGCAAGAGATCAATCTCGCGCCAAACACCACGTTTATCAGGAAGTTCATCCGGGATCTTGTCCGGTAAGACGTCTTGTAATTGAAGACGCGTCGCGAGGTGGACGCGCGACTTCAATGTATTTTTGGACTCCCTTTCACATACACAATAGCGTGGACACATTCCAACGCTAAATTCTTGATGCTTGTTCCCCATCGTGCTTCGACTCACTACTCGAAGCTGGAGAAACGCAGCCGGGTAATAAACCATCACCCCCTCTAGGCACTGGATGTCCTCATCCATAATGCCGGAAAAACATGACTGGAGTAACCCATACTCGACCAGTGACAATTAATGTGGGTGCTCCTCCTCGGCCGCCTTACCCTCGTGTAGGAGATCCTGATCAACCACAATGGTTGCAGATGAAACCCCGGTTCAACTACTGCATTTACGTGCGGGAACCCTTGTTCAACCGCATTATTGACGCGTGGAACCCCTGTTCGACCGAGTCGTCCTCGTCACTCTCATCGCTGTGACGCGAGGAATCTCTGTCGATTGTGTCCAGAAGGAAAGCATAAGCAGTACAGAGAGGGCCATCTCTTGCTTTGTGCAACGCCTTGATCGTGGAATCGCGATCCACGACTGTGACGATGGGCTAGTCTCTTGGAGGCACCAAGAGATGGGCAAACACTTCACTGACGTCAAACTTGCGTCGACGTCTCACTGATCTGTCTAACCATTCGATCTGGGGCTTATCACGTGCCAACCATGGCATGCCCATGATACAATCGAATGCATAATTCATCGCGATCACCAATAAATCATTATATTTGCGATAGTCGTTAAATGTATACGGCAACGACACTTCGCGAAGCGATACGTGGTGTTTTTTTCCTATCAGCCAACTTGACGAAGACTTGGTCAGGTCCCTCACGGACCGGAATGCTGGGAGGCAGCATCGATAAACAAGATTCACGGAAGAAATTGTTGTCGCTCCTGAGTCCAGGGGGTCGCCGGAAACCGGCGACATGTAAATTGATAATAAGCAGACGTAAATCACTACTCGTAGTGGTGGCATTTAACCGTGCGCGCAGTGCAGAAGAACTGGATGGTTGGGCTGCCACCGGGGGATCCGGACCTCCGTTCCAACCAGTAGGGCGCCTGCAACTACTGGTCCCGACCGTGTTTTAGACGTGCGACCGGTACAGCGCTCGCTCCCATAACCGGCGCCCGTACATGCCCCGCTAATGGTGCTGGCGCGCGAGCACTCGCCGCGTTATGCCCTGGCTTCCGACAACGGAAGCAAACCATTGGACGCCCCGTGCGACCGTCACCCTTATGGGAAGCGACACGTCGTCGGTAAAGTGAAGCTCTTGCTTACAAGATCGTTGCATGGTTCACTTCGGCGACCGGTAACCGTGGTGCTACCGTTAAAACGGTCGATTAGCCAACCCCACCACCGCACTCGGATGTTAAACGGTTTGACTGATTTCTCGCTTGTGCTGAAGGTGTGTGCTAAGTAGTACGCGGCAGCTTCCTAGAAGTGCCCGTCTACAAGTAAGCTATCAAATAGCTAAAGCGAAAGCCAGACTGTTACATGATACGGGCAAGAGGACTAAAGTTGACAGTAAGGAAGGCGGCTAACAATTGCACAAGTTTGTGTTTGATCAAGTAGTTCATGGTATGGACTGCTATACCCTTTCGACTACAAAACACATCATGTCAAAGCTAGAAAACTGCTTCATGTTGTACAGTCTTAGCAGCCGCTACCACCGGCTATTATTAAACATGACGTGCTGTGGAATATGGCCATGATGTTGGTCATGACAGACCAGACAAACGCAAACGTGAGATAGGCTACAGTAATCGCACCCATCATCTTGCTGCTGCCACCAGTACGCAAGAGCGCTTGCGTCTCTTCCTTCTGACGAGGTAGAAATATCAGGAAGATCCAGGAGAAAACCGTCATCGCGTACATGATGATCACCACGTATGTGATGTCCATACGAATTGATTTGTCGTCGGTCTGAATGCGCTTCGTGGTCAGGTTAAATGGCTGGTCAATCAGTAGGGTCATGGCTGTAGCAAACGGCTGCGCCAAGTTGGACACCATGGTGATCAGCCCATAGACGACTCCTTCGTTACCGGTGCCAGAAAGCTCGACGATCACAAAGCTAGAAATGACATAGCTGACTCCGTACGGAAGCTTCACTGCAATAGGCAGACCGAGCCAGAACCATTGACTACGGAATACGTCCCAGATCGTGATAAAGGTGGTGATGCCGTCAGCAGTTGTGACAAGGGCACCAGTGAACACGATCATCCAGCGCCAGTTCCATCGCAGGCCCCACTTTGACGTAATCATGATACCGGCCACTATCAAAATGGTACCCAATATGTTGCTTATCGTGTCATTGATTGGAGTGACACCCACCAGGTACGATTGCACGGGGGAGCTGGCCGTATACGTGATCTGCGAGAACATACCTTGAAAGAATGTGAACAAGATAACTTGGTACACCACTCGTTTCTGAATCAATTCCCATAGCTCTCGTATGTAGAGCATGAAATTCACATGCGGTTTCTTCTCTTCCTTGATAAAGAACCAAGTCATTGGGATAACCGGTACCAGTAGGACGGCAAGAATTATCATGAGCTGGGGAAAAGTGAGCGAGAAGTCAAAGTCACCGCCATACTTTTCACCGTTAAAGCAGAAACCAGTCAGAAGCTGGCCGATAATGACAAAGACTGTGCGTACGGTATATATGGCCGATTGGGTCTTGCCGCGTGACTCGAGCGGCTCACGTTGCGCAAATTCCACCACGATACTATCGGCACAGACGTCTGCCAATACGTAGCCCGCAGCGGCAAAACACATGAGCATGACATACTTGGCAGCTTGTGAAGCCGCTTTAAAATTGATGCGGGCTTTGATCTCAGGCGTGTAATCAGCCGGCTTGATGTCACGATCAGCAGACACTGTGTAGTACGGGTCTCCCGCCGGCATGCAAGCCATAATGATCAGCATGCTCAAACAAATGATCCACCCAATTACCATCCATGGCCGACGACGATATCCCCACAATGGAACACAGTCGGACAAGATCCCGTAGAAACATTTAAAACTCCACGGTAGAAATAGCAGAGTGTTTGCCGTTGTCACTTGAGCACCCGATGCATTGAGGTAGTTCTGTAAGAACGGGTAGGTCGTGGCTGGTAACACACCGTAAACAAGACCGACAGCAGCATACTGAACCAGTAGACCCAAGCAGTCTTTACTCAGGAGATTGGGAGCACCACCCTCACGCAAAGCTCCACCATGAATAGGTGACTTGTGCTCCTTAAAGTGGTTTCCACTCTCAAAGTCCTTGGACTGCAACGTGTCACTTGACAAGGACGATCGACCGATGATGTCGCCTTTGTGAAAAATCTCCATGCTGATGTTGTTGGGGCGAGCCAAAGAACAGGAATGAACCATTTCGCTTGTCTGTTGATTACACCACTGAATGCATGTTGGACAGGGGTCATTGACTGACGTTACTCTAATGTCGTCACGAAGAAGCTTATAGAAGGATTTAGGAGCAGAGGCTTAAGATGAGACCATTGTCCTCATGAACGACATGCATTCAGCTGACAGAATGGCTTCGAGCTTATTTGTACGTTGACAAGTGATGTAACGCGATCGATAGAAATTTGAGAATTCCATGCCATGTAGAGCCAGAAAAGGCTAATGTAGAAGTAGCTTCTGTCCTGCAGCTCCGATCCACACCTGACGATCCGTTGTCAAGTACTTTTATGCGTACAACCACTTCTGCCGCTACAATTTTGGCTGGATTTTATATGAAATGACGTACAAAGTATTCCGTCGTATCTCAATCCTTGATCCTGATCCTGATTTTGTGATACTCCATGAATCTCAAAAAGTTGAAGCGTACAACCCACAGGTGGTACCATATAACGGGGCTATGTTGATAGTCATGCTTGTTCAAAAATGTAGTCACCCTTTAAAATCCACAGCGATAAGAGACTCCATGATGAGATTGGACGACACTTTGTTCAATAGGTAGTAGTTAGCACCAATGAGAACTAATGCAGAAGGTTACGTGGATATCTTGATAGGCAATCATTCGTGTGTCATCTTACATGGGCAGCAGTAATTGTCGTACTGCTTTGCTAAACACGTTCGAGAGTGCTCCTCGTACCTCGACATTTGGTACCAACATGAGCTCTGTTAAAAGCGGATACAACCATGACATGTGGCATTGTAGCTACAGGGTACAAATAACACCGCAAACAAACCACTTAGTTGCCCAGCCACTCATCCTTATCTATACATGACAGAAATGGTCTTACCTCGGTGTTGTCAAACGCAGCTATCCCCCTCAGTGTCGCAACAATTAGAGGCGTAAAACTCTCCACCCGTTGTTTTGCATCGGCAGGTACTACTTTTCCGTCCTCGATATGCTGCGGAGCTACACCTGTCCAGGCCAGATATTCTTCAAGTGTGTCTTGTACTAATCGCGCCATGTACCCGCGAGCCTCCTCCTGCTCCTCAAGATCATTGTTATCTATGCCTCGAGTGAGAGCAGTAAACAACACTTGAAGATACTGCTGCTTGCCCATTACTTCTTGCGGTAACAAACTAGGGAGCTCAGTAGATGATGGCATTGTCCTACCATAGCGCCATCCAACGCGCTGCAGATAACGCCGCAGTGGCACCGCATCGTTAACCTTGCGTGCAAATACGAAGCTCTCACGTAGACAAGATAAGAGCGAGCGAGCATGACCGATGCTAATTGACAGATTGTCCCTGCGACGGCTAACAAGCACATTTCCTGCTAATCGCTGCAAAGCCAATAGAACAGCCAAGTGGGTGCGTGACGGTTTTCGCTGGGCTTTTACCTCTTCAGCGCTGATCACCTTTGGTGGAAAGCTTGTAGCAAACATGAAACCCAAAGTCGCCACGACCCCTGAATACATACCCAGAAGTGAAGGTTCATGAGGTGACATGACAACAGATGCTGCCGTTGATGAAGATAACGATGACCTTTGCAGCTTGGAAAGGCTTTTGCCACAAGAATCGATGTGAGGTTCAAGAATTTCAGCTTCCTCTTCTTTAGCTTCCTCTTCACGAGGCAAGGCAAAGAATATCCACGTTGGTTCGGCACGCTTCATAATATTGCGCAGTTCATCAACAATGAGACCCCAGACACCCGTGGGAAATTTATGTCCATGTGAGACCAACATGGCCTCGAACGCACGTGGTGACGCTACTGCAAGCTGGTCGTCGACAGCACCAGCATCCATGCACTTGCCCAATAAAAAGAGAACGTCAGGTAGGAACCCCACAATATCAGAAAAAAGTCCGAAGCACTCTAGCAGCCGCTCGAGGCACAGCGTTGCAGTGGTTTTACCAGCGGTGTAGTGAGACAAGTGACCAGACGAATTGAGCGTCGGTGGCAACGGTAGCTTGGGCGATATGAATGCACCCTTCTCCACAATCACCTCGAGGTGGTGCAACTCGTCCAAGAGGGGAATCAGGACATCTTTGAAGATCAAACTCCACAGACCAGATGAAAACTTCTTGCCGTGAGTCTCTAACGCGTTAAAGAGCGCTTCCAGTGCTGCGAGACGCACGTCTAGACGACGGTCAGCAGCAAGCGTAGATAGAGCTGAGAGCACAGGCCACCACATCCGCATATGTGCAACGGAGTCGTTGTATGCCGCCTCGCCGCTTTCAAGATACTTGTCCTCCTCCTGTGCCTCCAGAAAACTAGCTCTTTCACGAGTCGATAATGCAGTAGAATCAGGCGTTGATACCTGCTTGTCCACCTCTTCCTTTAGTGAGCTTACAGAATTCTGTTTCTGTTGATGCACTGAAGCTGGCGACTGAACGCCATCAGCCGTGCTAGCTTCATCGATAGGATCTTCGTCCAATACCTTGAGTGTCTTAAAATCGACAAGAGCCGCCTGGTTGGCCGCAGCAACTACACCGGCTGCTGCAGGAACTGAAGCAATTGAAAGGGATCCCGCCGTTTCACGAGCAGTAAGTGGTTCGATGACCTCTCCAGTCGCTAACTTTTCAATGCAGACACTTCGTAGAAGGCCAATGCTGTCTACTCCTAACTGTGTGAGCGCAAGTCGCTCCTCCATCTCGCGCTCAATATCCTCACAACCGCAAACTGCAAAAGCGAGAAGACAGTCCACAACGTCGATGAACACATCAACGATGCAGTCAAAATGACGCTCCAACACACCGCGGGCGACCTGGAACCCTAATAGCACCACTCGGTCTTCGCTGCCAGGCGCATACGTCTCGGCTGCTATACGAAGCACACCCCAAATTGTTTTCCATCCGGAACGGATGTTGCCAACTCGAGCAAGTACCAAGTTCTCAACACAGCGCAAAACCAGCTCACGGGTTTCAAGAGATGTGGCATTTGCCATAATTACTTCAAAAGGTGCCAAGAACAGCCGCTGGAAGTTGAAATCGCGAAGCTCTGCTCGCTCGAGAAATTTCATGCTAAGCTGGCGCAGCGAATCGATAGCGTACATGCCAACCGTCAAGTCCTCGTGGCATCCGACCGTGGTAAAGTGTCTCGATAAAGTCTGCCACGTAGCTGTCCACACCATACGAGAGCGAGTTCGCATGTTCATGTCAGCTACTTCGACAAGCTTCTGCAAGCTGAATACACGAGGAGGGGAGCCGCCTACAGCACCAGACGGTCCAACGCCTGAACACTCTGAGAGCGACACAACAGTGAGCTGTACGACAAACTCCTGCAAAGCTTGGTCACTAAGTGACACAGAACTTGAGAAAACACGATCGCTTGCCAGCTGGTCAATCTCTTTTAGCACGCGTGCAGCATTTTCGTCTTCAACTTGGGCCTCGTCTAGTTCAGAGCCACCCCCACGACCACCGATTTCACGGTAAGATTGAGATGGAGACGACGATCCTAACCCACCACGCTTAAGGCTCGTTGAAGAGCCAAGCATGCTGAACGAAGGTGCAGAATTACTGCTTTTATTGCGGGAGCTAGAATAGCTACCCACGCCAGGTGAAGGCTGTCGGGTAAAATAGGATGAATCACCGGAAAGTGACCCTGGCACAGAACGCTCAGGCATACCCTGAGCGTGTGACTGAATTCGAGCGAGCTGTGAAATGGTCTGGAGGACGTCGTGCCATGAATCACCAAGGTAATTTCCCTCCTTCACACTAATTGAAATAAGAGCCTTGATCGCCTCCATGTTCTTTGATCGCATCAATCGTGCGTTTGTTGTGTGTAACGCGGTAAACTTGGTTAACACCATTACGAAGGCGTCCCGTTCCGCTGGCATATCCAGCCTAGCAGAAAGATGCACCGCATGCCGAAATGAATCAAGGCAGAGCTGGATGGATTCTGCCGACTCAGAACTTTCGAAGGTCACCGAGCATGCTGCCAAAAGCGGGGCCCAGAGCGTATCAAACATAGGGCGCACGTGAGAGCGCTCATTGTATCCTGAGACTTCTCGAAACGCGGACGACGAAGGATCTGGCGTCAAGTGCGACGATGAAGCATCGCCATTTCGCTGTGACTCCCCTGGGCTTGACGTGGTAGATGCACTCGGCCGATTACTACGAGGAGATAGGGAAAACTCTTGTTGCCCTCGCGCTGATGCCGGTATACGACGCTTAAAGAGAGCTTCAGACTGACGCACCATCGACTCACGCTCTTTAATGTAAGCATCACGTCGCATGCGATCTGTAGCTGCGCCAGAAGCTCCAAACAAAGAGCTCGCAGCAGTAGGTGCTCCACCACGACGTGTACGAAAGTCGTCGTCTTCCTTTAGTGAAATAGGTGCCGCTTTAATACGGTCAAAGATAGCGCCCATGTAATCCTCCGGCAAATCCTTGCCGTCGTTGATACCACGGTTGTTGCGTAGGAATCCAGCCTTGTCCATCTTTTTCTCCTCCGCGATGCTTGGATTGTGCAGATCTGTCTGCAGCATGATGATAGAGAACGCTAGGATGAAAGCTGTGTCTGCGCTAGGAAATAATCCAGGCGGACAAGAATTGAAAAACCGTTCCGCAAACTTCTCCATCATTCGATCAATCTTCTGCGATTCACCAGGCAAACGAAAACCAGCAAGAAAGTGACGAATGGCCACATCGATCTCCAAGCCGGTAAACTCCATCATATCCACGTATTCATGAAGTACTTTCACACAAAATCCTCCCTGGTAATGAACACCATTTCCGAGGTAGTCGCCCACCATTGTCTTATCCAGCTTATTGTTGTGCGTGTGTAGAAAAGTTGCGACATCACGTGGTGAGCCTTCACCCATGTGTCCATGGGCAACAAGATACGCGATACCAGCACTAGGCTTCACGTTGAATTTGAGAACACCTGTGGCCATCTCTTCTTGGCGCTTCTTTTTACTTGCAAAGGCCTCAACTGCCGACATCGTAGATGAGACGACTGGAGCCAAGTCCGGCGGGGCGACATTGTCTTCATCTCCACAGTTTTCGATACTGTGAGGCTCCTCTCCTTCAAGCTGAAAAGAAGACTGTCGTTCCATTTCGACAAAATTTGCGGCCTTCTTCAACGATGCAGTAATGGCGGTAAGGCATTCAAGACCCTTGAGAGCGAGGGCAGTATCCTGTTGCTGCATCTTCAAGCGTGCACTTGTGGACAAACTGGCAGCATACTGTTGAGCTGCAGTGTCTTGAGAGCGACCACCCTTAGCGGCCTTGGCAAGTGCGTGCACAATCTGCTTGAATAAATCGTTGGTATTCCACTCGCAATCGTAGTTAATAAAAATTTCACTTAGAGTTTGCGGATCCTCACAGATCGTATGCAATGCCTCCAATACCAGAAGTTTGTGTTCAAAGCTGGCGTTCTCAGACTGTAACAGGCGCAGAAATATACTTGTGACGAAGATATCCAACTCTGTCTTGAGATGGCGCTTAAAGTTGCGTAGTAGCACCAAGAAAACCTGCAGTGACAATGATACGATCTGCGTGTAGTTACTTGTGCAGTTTTGCAATAACGATTGGCATAAACATTGTCGAATGGCACGCACGAATCGCTCACCACGTCTAAACGATGGCCCAGCATTCTCCACGATCTCCTTCACCAATTCCAGCGATAAGATTTTACTCTGGAAAGCAAAAGGGTCTTCGGGCATAACACCGTTTCCTGCGTCTTCACCAACGGAGCCGTTCACACCATTAGCTGCCGGAAAATCATCAGCAACTGATCGCATTGAAATTCGGCAAAGCGAACGGAACAGCAAATATGCGTCCTTGTGTAGCACGGACGGGAACGCGGCGGCAGACACTGGTGGTGATAGTGTCGCCATTTTTCTATCTTTTATAATCGTCGCAGACGAGTTTGCCAGTATTTCCTGGTGATCGGAAGTGCGAGGGAGCTGAAGTGCAGCTGCAACCGACGGATAAAAAGCAGCCGTCGGGTCTTTACGCTGCGTTTGGTCAATATTGTCTTTATCACTCTCACTCTCATTTATTTCGTGTTGCTCTTGTCTTGCTTCCTGCTCGCATTCTTTTCTCTCTTCTCCTTGTTGAGTGTGTTGTTCTTGTTTTTGTTTATCCAAAGACGCCTGTAACGTAACTTTCGTCTCTTCTTCCACACGTTGATCAAATGTCTCCATCCTTTGAAATACAATGCTAATTAACTGCTGCAATGTCGCTTTTGCTACCATTTTATTGGTAGCACTTTTGCTCACCAAATGAACATGATAACAAGCTCTCACGGCTCTTAATAATGCATGTTCATGTACTTCACACGTCGGTGTCGTCACAGCCGTTAATAACACTCGCAGCACTTGAATTTGAACTCCTTCATCTGGATGATCATTACAATCACACGCCACTTCAACAATACAGTCGATAAGTCTGTATGTCTCTTCATGCTCATCTTTTTCTTCACTTGCATCGCGATTATTATTACTCCTTAGAGGACTCGACCCATTTCCAGACCCGGACCAACGACCATTATTGCCAAAACCAGCTGTTGTCTTTTGCCCTAACCATCGCCGAACCCTTTTAGGAATTTTCCCCGCTTCTTCCAGGAACCCAAAGGCCAGAAATTTCTCCATACAGTCCAAACCCACAACCACAAGCTTTGCATAGCGGGTCAGACAGGCCAAGAGAAATGGTTCAAAGGGTACCTTTAGTGTACCCTCTTGACTTGTAACCGTAACCTTGGCTTGAGTTGCATCAATTAAATCCCGTAACTCCCGATGGTTACGGGTACACGCCTTGCGTAACTTCTCGAGCGACTTCAGAACGAGTGCTTCCATGGGGGGAGGGGTTACAAAGGGTTACACGATCTTTTAGTGGTTATAAAAATGAGAGAAAGACTGCAAATGGATCGACAAGACAAGGACGGACGTGATATACCGGTATAACGATGACAAGAGGGAGTATTTATGATGATCAAGTACCACGTACAAAGACGACACTAGCAAGAGAGTCCGATACGAGGAGACGATGGGAACTTTAATACAAGATATGCGAAAGTAGAGGGACCGAGGAGAGCTACGGTTACGTCTGAAGTAACATGAAGCATCATATACTAAAACCCTTTTTGAAATAGTACGTACACCGGTATCCTATCGGTATCCTGTTGAATCCAATACCTAATGTAATCAATTTACACAGGGTATTTGTGTTTGGAGTTTCATCGTCCGCTGGCCATTCAACACTTCCGTGGCTGTGCAGATGCTCTCTTGGAGGCTTTTTACGGCTGTAAAATACTGGAATTATCGTCGTTGTAGTAGATCAACATCTCCTCCTATTCTTCTCGCTTTCTCCGCGTCAAACGCTTCTCTCGATGCTACAAAATATCACTTTTTAAGTACTACATCGACACTAGTCGAGCCCTTGAAACTCGGTCGTTTTACACGTCAAGAAGCAAAGAAATGGCAAGTTTGTCATGCTTGGAAGGGTACAAAAGGCATTTCCAATGATATTGCGCTTCCGAAGGAGCCAACGGATCGAAAATCGAGGTTTAATGTCCATCATTACGTTGTCCAGCAGCAAATGCCACTACAGGACGTGTTTTCATTGCTACAGAAGGAATTAGAGGTGAAGACGCTCCAGAATCCAATGATACGTCAAGCGGTGGACTCGTTTTACTTTTATTGTGCTCACGAGGCCGAGAAAAATGGACTTCGAGAGGCATTTCGACGACAAGTGCTGGATTATTTCAACCAGAAAGTCTTTTTATATCAAGATGAAGACGAGACCAAGCCTTTTGTGATGGGAAAGTCAGTGAATGAAGCAGTTTTTGGATCCGTGATCAAGTTACATTTAGCAGGAGGAGACACTGAAGCAGCTTGGAGGCTCATTAGTAAGCTGAAACGAGCAGTGAAGGACGGAGCAGTGAAGGATGGAGCAGTGAAGCTGCACTTTCGGACAGTGAGTCCATTGCTCGAGCATGAGTGCAGACACAATCAATTTCTGAGTGCTTATTCGAAATGGCAGCAGTTGAAACAACATGATGTCGAGTGGACAAGTGCCATGGAGGACGTACTGGTGCAGATGGTGATTGCGTGTGTGAAACACAACAAACAGCAGCTGAAGAAGGACTCTACGGACATGTTGAAGACTGAGACGAGGGAATCGCATTTCCATGCACAAATGACATTATTGTTGCATGATCTACAACTCACCTGTCGAGAGGTGTCTCCACCGAACGCTCAGGGGCTAATGCATGCATTCCATGATGCTAATTATGCTGTGAAAACCGTGTCGAGTGACGTACAGATGAGAGCACAGTGTCCGTGTTGTGGACATGCTTTGTTAAAGCAGGGAATGTCGGAACCTGAACGTGAGAACATGTTGAGAGCTATTGAATCTCGTCGTAGCAAAGTGCCACCAGAAAATACAGTGAAAGAGTATCTACAGCCATTCCGAGACTGGTTGATGCTTCGCCACAAAAAGTTCCAGCTTCAACACCTTGTTGAAGAGGAAAAGGACGACAAGCTTCTGCACTATGTGCTGGACGGACCTAATATCGCATACATTAACCAGAATTTTGGAGCCGGAACGTATCGCTTGGACCAAGTGGATGCTGTTGCGAAAGAACTTCAGGCTCAGGGTCACCTCGTGAGCATTACGATGCCTGCAGCTTACCTTGCTAACAAATTTGTGGTACGTATTCGCACCAAGCACTTTAAGGAATTACGTCGCCACGGTAAATTTGTCTCTCGCGAGCGCACGCCTGAGGAGAAGATAATTTTGGCACGCTGGCAGGATGCAGACATGATCTATAGCTGCCGCACAGACTTTTTGTCGGACGACCTCTTTTGGTTGTACGCCAGCGTACTGATGGGACATGAAGGACGCGTGGTCACGAACGACCAAGGTCGTGACCACGTCTTCGCTTTACTCAATGGCTATGACAGTACAAGTGCAAATGCTCGGACTCAGAAGAATGGCAAGAAGAGTGCTGTTGAAATGAGCACACCCGCAGATGTTCCATCCATCTCAATGGACCTAATTGCTCGTTGGAAAGACATGACGACCGTGAATATTGAGATCGAGCATGACGAAGTTGCGTACGTCGCTAGAGGTGATGATCCAACGGCGCTCATGCCCATCGAGTCCGTCCGACTGCTTCATCCCCAACCGTTCTCGCGCGTACCCCAAGTGACAGCACCGCAGCATTTTCATTTCCCGATAGCAGACCAAGCAAATCAAAATGAACATCCAAACCAGGCACAGAATCAAAGAAAGCGCACGCGATGGCTTTGTGCTCATCTTGAGACAATCGACTGAAGCATGATGTCGAGGTCCTACATATTGTGTCTTTAAAAAACTGGAGCTTCATATCGTGGGAGCTATTACGAGCATTAGAGAAACAAGAGTTAGTCAGGAAGGCATTATTCTAAACATTCATAGCCAAGACTTGGACGTTACGATCAAACACGTGATACAATCAATAGCTTCAGCTTTATAACTAGACCCACTCCAAGGGCTTACTAGACATTAGATGAGAAAAGAAGAGAGAGAGAGAGAGAGAGAGACTATTGCAGACAGACAGGTTTGATTGTCTTGAGGAAGAGGGGAGGGGCGCATGATGACACGCTTGGGTTTTTTCTCTCTCTTATGAATGGACGCAATTGCCATTGTCACACTTGAAGCCGGCGTCACAACCGTTCTGGAAGACGCTCTGGGCCGGGTTAAAACACTGACCGGTGGGAGGTGCTTGGCAGGATGACGCACCCCTTGGGCAGTACTTGCCTGAATCACACTTCAAGTAGCAGATGGGAAGTTCTGCTACACACTTGCCATTGTCACACTTGAAGCCGGCGTCACATTTTGTCTGGAAGACGCCCTGGGCCGGGTTAAAACACTGACCGGCGGGAGGTGCTTGACAGGATGACGCGCCATTTGGGCAGTACTTGCCTGAATCACACTGCAAGTAACAGGTGTTGCTTGTCTTTACAGTGTGCACACGAAGGTGAATCGTGGTTTGAGCAACTGAAGGCTGAAGGAGGCACGTCACAGCGACAATGACAGAAGTAAAGACAGTGAAAAGCTTCATTGTAATGGGTGGAGCTCAAGACTTGAGAAGGTGTTTTTTCGTTTGATAAGGGGTGAATCTAGAAATGAAGAGCCAAGAAATCAGTCGAGTATGTGGATATCAAATCCTATGGCGTAGGAGGAGTGGGAAACATGAATCAGGTGAAAGAGATACTTTGATTTAGGTATTTTATAATGGGATCTGTATGGCCAGACACTTTAAAAGGACTTGAATATTGAGACCATGATCATAGAGATTGTAGTATTTACGACTATGAAGAGTAGGTTTGATCGTCATGATATAAAAGACTTAGTATTTGGCTTAGTCATGTCGGTGGTTGGGGGGTTGGAGCTTTATCTGAGATTTTTATTGTAAACTCACGAGATACAGATGTAGCCATTTAAGGAAATGGCTACACTTATCTTGAAATATGTCATTTAGATGTTGACTATTACATGCTTTCTATTGCTACAAACTGATGGGCTTGCGGTAGAGCCTGTAATTGTGACATATAGACAGACACCCTATGGAGAGGATGCATTGGTAACACGGTACATTGATAAAGCCGCCGTATCGCAAGGCACATACAGCGTCTAGCTTCCTTTCTAAAGTTAGTTTCCTTTAGAAATTAATAAACTTGTACTTTCTAATATATAGACTGTATCGTTTTATGTAGGTCATGCATTACCTACAAGCGACATGTTGTTTGTAAAAAGGTCCTTCAACTGCCCTTTCCATTATTAGGTTCCTCTCCAGCTGTTCGCACTGCCACTCACTCATATCCCACCTCATTAACCAAAACAAGACATCGTACCTACCTCAGTGTAGCCATTTCAAGTGTAGCCACCTTATCTCCACTTTTGTCAGCTCCAAATCACCCGTCAAGCTATTTCAACCGAGAACCACATGCATCGACGTTCTACTGCAACATCAATGGCTTTAACCAATGCTAAGAACCGGCGGTTTAGTCTCGATCAGACGAATATTTCGCCTACAATTTACTGTGAAGGCTACGCACGTATTAAACGTCGTAATGTTTTGACTTGGAACACACGTTTTCTTGTCCTAAGTAACACGCAATTACTTTTCTTTCAGAATAAACACGACGCCAGCTATCGTCGTAATGTTGTGGATTCTCAGGAACTTGTCAGTGGTTGTGTATCTCCCAAGAACGTCCTGGGCATCGAATTTACTTTTGCAGATGGCCGGGAACTAGTCGGTCGTGTATTTAATCGTGCCGATCAGGCACAATGGGTGTCAGCCTTTTACCAATTGGCAATGAAGAGTGACGTGTGTCGCAGTAAAAGCGTATCCATGGATGAGAACGACAAGACTGCGACTGTCAAGCGTCGTGTCTCGTTCTTTGGCAGCGTCTTGGTCCGTACGATCCCAACCGTGCCAGAGAATCAAGTACCTGAGCTTTTTTACAGCAAGAAAGACGTGGCAAAGTTCTCCGAGCGAGCCTCGAGTCTACTGGGTCGCACAGAAGATGCCGTGTCCTTGGTATTTCAAAAACCGTGGTACTGAGAAGTCGTCCAAGTTCACAAGCCACAAAGGCATCACAAGGCTTGAGATTTTACATTCTTATGCTCATTTATAAGCAATTGCGCTCCATAAGGGAGAGCATCAATGGTGTAACGTATGATATCGCAATCGACAACACAAAACGTGTTAATAAATCTCTCTGTATTTTTCTTACAGTATTGAACTTGATGTTCATGATGCAATAGGGATAGATTTAGGGTTTTTAGCCGAAAAATATCTGTAGCTGTTGAATAATCATGTGGTGCACCTAATTTCCTCAGGTATTTATGTCGTGGACCATTTTATATCCGTACCAGAATTTGTGAATTTGAGCCAGATGTGGTCTAAAGAGACTGTTGGATTGTAGACATGACGTCCGTTTTAATCGCACAACTTGACAACAACCGGTGCTCATTTCGATACTGCAACAAAACGATAAGAAAGATGGCTACATTTGGTGCTAAGTGGGTACATCCTTGCACCCACTGCTTTTTTGTGGTCTACACCAACGTAATCAACAGTGTACTCTAAAATTTAACTTCATTTCGCTAAAAAGCGATAATGTCGCCGCTAATTCGTTCCCAGTCAAAAGCTGCTGCAGTGTACGTAGCTGCAACACGGCAGCACGTGGGCAAAACAAGCACGTGTTTGGGCCTTTTACATGGACTTACTCGTCGTTTAGATCGTATTGGTTTTCTAAAGCCCGTGGGACAAGAAAGTGTCACGGTCGAAAGTGGGTCCTTACGGGTGGATAAGGATGTCGCAGTAGCAAAAGGTATAAATGCCAATCATTTCCAATTCTGCGATACGGCAATACATTTATTTTTTGTATGGTAGTTGTATTGAAATGATTGCGTTATGTAACGGTATTTGAATATAGAGGTTTTCAAGCTGAATACCTGCAATTATGCAGACATGTCCCCCGTGGTGATTATACCCGGCTATACCAAACGGTTTCTAGACGGGAATATTACTGTAGAGAGTCAATTGGATAAAATTCGCACGAGTTTCAAGCGTATTAGTGAAGCTAATGAGGTAATTTTTGGTGCTTTTTTTTGGGACAGCTACGATAAATGTCTAATTTTAAGACTAAATTTGAGTTTCATCTGATGTTTTGTAGTTTACTGTAGTAGAAGGCACTGGACACACTGGAGTTGGTTCCATTGTGGACTGTAACAATGCTCGAATAGCTGCTGAATTAGGTGTCGATATGGTGCTGGTAGCCAATGGTGGACTAGGTTCAGCGTTTGACGACCTGGCGTTGAACTATTCAATGTGCAAAGCACATGGAGTGAAGATTCGAGGTGTTATTCTGAACAAAGTACTGGAAAATCGAGTCGAAATGCTGCAAGAGTATTTTCCAAAGGCAATGAAGTACTGGGGAGAGGATATTCCTTTGCTTGGTATTGTGCCGAATTTGCCAACACTCTCAAATGCGAGCATGCTGGACTTTGAAGGGCTGTTTGCAACTGAGATGTGGACGTCACGTACGCGACGTTTTCAGCAGTACGATAAAACTACACTTGTTACGGCAGGGCTTCGTCGGTTCTTAGAGAAATTGATTTCGCCCGAGTTTGAGCGCACGCTGTTCGTCACACACGTATCTCGGAACGACATTATCATGAGCTTCTTGTCACACGCACAGAACTTTGAGTTCATGACAAAGAGACCTTATGGTGGTGGACTTATACTCACAGGTTCACCGTCTGACGATCAACCTCAAGACTACATAATGAACATGATCAAGAACGCACAGACACCAGTTCTCTACGTGCCCACGACAACTTTTGAAGCTATGGAGAAGATCACGCATTTTACAAGTAAGTTGTGCAAATTTTTCTGTTTCGAGTTTTGTGTTCAGGGGCACAAGTTTCACCTTTTTTTACTTTTTTTCAATGCAGCAAAATTCAATCCGACGGATACCGACAAGATACAAGCATGTGGTGAACACTATGCCAACCATATCGACTTTGACGCTGTCCTAGACATTTTGACATAAAGAACCCAAACGTTTTAACAAAAAGGTACTTGTTGAACCAACTTCTTTTCATGTGCACCACATATAATGGGTCTTTTACCTAGAATCTAAAGCAATAGAAATGATGACGACTTCACTGGTCGTACGTGGCGTAACGTTCGATTTAGATGACACTTTATGGTGTGGTCAGACCGTCATCCATAAAGCAACTACCGCTTTTCATGCTTTTTTAGCAGAAAAGACACCACAATTGGCAAAGAAATTTCCTCCTGCCACGTTTGATGCACTTTTGATGGAATTTCAACGATCGATTCCGGACAAAGCACATGATTACACGTTTCTTCGGAAATATACTCTTCATTATTGTGTGGACGTATGTGGAGCTCAAAATTTACAACTGGAGGACCAAATGCATCTCAAAACGTTTATAAATGCTGCATTGCGAGCTTTTTTAATTCCTCGTAGTCAACCGGACCTTTTTGACGGTATTGAAAACTTGTTTCAAGCTTTGGAATTAGAGATTCAACGGTGTCACGATACTAGCCCTTTGATGGGCGTTATTACCAATGGGAATTGTGAAATGGATAAATTACCTCGTTACTTTCAACAATACATGAACTTTGTCGTATCAGCGGAACTTGTAGGCACGGCTAAACCGAATCAAGCGATTTTTGACGCGGCGATCGCGAAATTTCCAGCACTTGATAATCGTCAGCAGATTGTACATGTTGGTGACCATTACAAGTGTGATGTGGAAGGAGCAAAACGTGCTGGATTACGTACTATTTGGGTGAATGCAAAGTGGACGAAACCCGATGTATTGACGCGAGCCGAATTATCTCAAGACGATGCAGAGCAGTATGCTGCTGCAGACGCTATTGTAAAAAAGGTGAACGCTGTACTACTTGTTGTAAAACACTGGAACATACTTGCTGCTCCATCCGAGTAAACGACACAAGAGTTGAGAGAGAGATTTTTCTTTTTTTCACGTTACATTGTGGGTGTGGACGTAATTTGCATCTAAACTTTCTCGAAAAGTATCTTCGCAGCTTTAATGACCGACAGCTTATTTTGTTATTGTGATTATTCAAATACATGTCCGGATATAACGGTCTCTTTCCATAAATGTGGTACACTTGCAGTAGTACCATTCAAATGTTTGTAAATTACAAAAACAAACCTTTTTTTTATATATAATTATATCAAAATCTAGTCCAAGACTAAAACTCGGTCTCTTTTTTTTCAACCCATTTGTAAAAAGCATCAAAATTAAACCTCACTTTTACTCAAATAAGTCTTTAATATCGATAAAATTACGCTTTAATCCGAGTAAAATGATGAACGAGATGGATCAAGAGCCGACGTCGCGCTTGCGTCGACGAAGCTTTTTTGAAGGAATGGAAAGTGAAGGAGCACTGTCTGAAACGATATCATTGACTGAAAATGACGTGGCAAATGGAACAACCACTTGCGGGGCGTCAGGGGATGGTGAGAATTATGGTGTCACTAATTCGTTGCTAAAACCAGGGAATAAAAATAGTCCAGGCAAATTAAACGGAGTAAAATTATCCAGTGAGGACCCTTTTTACGTACAAATACGAATCCGACGGTGCTTAAGTTGCTGCAAAACATATGGTGTGGTGTTGGGACATGGCTACATGTGGTACTTTTTGCATGGACTGTGAGGTTTCCAGCTGCAGCGACTAAAATGGAAAAATGGGGACAAGAAATGGGGAATTTTTGCAAAGGACCTAAAAATTGGCTCACGAATTGGAAAGGAGATGCCCTGACAAGTGTCAAATATTGGGTCTATCCGACTCAATGGCTCACATATGCATCAATCAGTCTTGTGCTATTACAGATGATCATTTACTGGAATTTTCAGACACTTTTGTTGGATTTACGTGTCCGTGAATGTGTTTTTAGAGAGACACTATTAGCTTCAGTTGAGTTGATGCAGCCCAAGACAATTTCAAATTTTCATGTGCAGTCTGGAGCAACTGCTTTGAAATTTTTGGAACGACGGTTTGAGCAGCAATACAGTCCAGGAGCTCGACGACCTGGTGAAGCAAGACTACCCTGGACATGTCTAGCAGTAGTACCAATGGGAAGTGATACTGCAATGGCACAAGCAAGAGAATTGGCGTTCTTATGGCCTCGTAGTCAGGTGGTAGCTGCTAATGCTTACTCGAAAATTACTAGTCGAGTTCATGTGGCAGTAGGAGCTAGTCCATTAGATCGAGGAATGGAAACGCAGATTGCAAGTGCTGGGGTATTTGCTGCGCTCTTCCCATTAAGTGCCATGCGTCCGGCGCTATTTGCTGCAAGATTTCCAGATTTGGTGTTGGTAGAGACTGAATTTGCTTTGCGTCAGATGGTGAAGTTTCGACAGGAGCGACAAGAAGAGCGAGATCTGAGAGGAAGAACAGGTGGTGATGCGCTGAATACTTTGGGGGGTACGTCACCGATTGATCTGGGCGCTTCTGATCTTGCAGCTAGCCATTTCGGCGTTTACCTGCTGAAGACCACGGTACCTGACGTATACAATCGACACATTTACAAGAAATGGGACGAGTTTCTGCATGTTGTGATTGTGGACGACACTGACAAGAAAAAGCAGTTTACAGAGGAACTGCTTTTAGCGTGGGCGATGCACCCGGCATGGCCCATGCTTCATGTACGGTTTTCACGGTCATTAGCGCTCTGCGGGACATATCAGCGCCTTTTGAGCACAATTATCAAGGACCATGAGGTTGACACAGAAGCAGCCAAGGATCGACTGGAGGGCTTGGATAAGAAAACGGGAACAAGCTCATCCAATCGCATCCTCAACGTGGACTTGGTGTGCGAGGAAGAAGCTAACGCACCTCCGGAGATTGTGAAGCTTAAGAATACGATCGGTATACATCTTTTTCCAGTGCCGCCTGAGCTAGAGAAATATGAGACTACAGTTCTTGAAAGTTTGGCGGTTGGCGCTGTTACTGTGACGTACAACACACCGATAATGCAGGAGTGGGTACCGGATATCTGTGGTCTGCGTGTTGGTACGTTCGACTACAAAAGGCCTGCGGATGACGAGATGCAGACAGAGACAGATGCTGCGGCTCAGGCCATTCCAGGTGGAGAAAATGGGTATGACGGTCGAGAATTGACGGATGATACTTCTTTTGTAAAGCTACCATCCGTACATGTGACTCCGAGTGAGATTGAGCATGCAATCGAAGAAGTACTGTCGCTAGACCGAGTTAGCCGCGTAGCGGCAGGACGGTCCGGCCGTGTGCATTATCTACGTATGCGAACGCACTACATGTCAGCTGTAGCGGCACTGGATGCTGCCATTTGCGAAGGAGACAGTGATGATATAGCTGAAACTCAGAGTGAGATTGGGCAGCATAAGCGCAGGAAGGTTGAGGTCGAAACGCTGCGAGCATTCTTGTACTAAGCAGATGTCAATGCAGTGCCTCACCACTTCATTCTTCAGGTCAAGTCAACGTGACTACATGCACTGGTTCCCGTACCATTAGGTACATGCGATCTCTTTAAGTATATAATGGCTGAAAGCATACTGACTTCCTGTAAAGGCTATGCTTCCAGTCCGTAGTGCATGGAATTTTCTCACGCTCCGTACCCAGGTATACATCTCGAAAACGTTGAACCGATCATGTAGGCATATCGCTACGCCGCTTTGTTTTTCAGACGGTACGAAGGCACCACGCGGCATTTTTGATAGTTCTTTCCTTGTTTAACAACTGATCGACAATGCATTTGTCTCGTGTTCTAATTGTAGCTGCGACTGTATTGCTGGCTAGCAGTGACTATATTGATGCTTCCAAGTGCAGTGTCAGACCCTCGACGTCATTGCCTCCGACAATCGTCGAAGTTAATGAACCACCGCTCGATGTTAATGAACCATTGATTGAAACATCGTATTCCCTTGGTAGTGCGCCACGTACACCCGAAACCGAAAGCCCTGAAGAGCAGACCACCAATCCAGCAGAGACACCTGAAGCCGCTACACCGACGGAAGCACCGACAATGACCGATGTCTCAACGCCCTTGACTACTACAAAAAGCAGTACACTGTCGTCGGATAACTCGAAACTTTGTGCTAAACTTCGTGTACGCATCACCGAAGTGAACGTGGATGATATTGTCGACTACAATGAGGACGAGGCCGCACTCAAGCTCGTGGCAATTGCATCGTTGCCTTCGGGTGGGTCACGCATCGCTTTTCACAGCGGTGACAATGTCATTGTTCGGGAGCTGGACGCCAACGACGAGTTGGTGAGTAGCAACACCGCCGTCGAGGTGCCACTTCATGACTTTGCCGACATTTACGCTGACAAGAACGGTTTTGTGCTCCTTGGCACAAGAGACGCCGAGGGTGGAGGCACCCTCAACTGCGGTGACCCGACCAATCTTTGTGGCGTGGCGCCCGACCCGCCCGTGGCATGCTACGATATGTACATGGTTCGCTACGACGGTACGAAAGAAAAGTGGGCCACGAAGCTGACGTCGTCCAGCTCGTCGCTACCACCTTATTCCTCGTCCAAGACAGGTGAGAACGTTTACATGATCTGGTGGTACCAACACCACGGTCGCATTGCGTCTGACGGCACAAATTGGGCCGCATACTTTGGTGCTGCCATCTCGACGTCCGAGGGCGGCTGCATTAACATTCACCAGGGTGACCGCATGAAGGTAGTGAATCCGTCGGGCACCATTACGACGGACAAGGAATCATTCGACTGGGGCTGTTCGCACTCGGCTTACGAACGTATCACGTATGACAACCGCACGGAAAGCTACGTGATGATCTGTAAGACGGATAGTGGTAACCGTATCATATCACCTAAGGACTGGGACTCGACCATCTACCCAGTGGACTTGGCTGCCGCCAACCTGGGTGACATCGTGCCGGATTCGAACCCGTCGAACAAGAAGTATTGGGCTACGGTAAGCAGCGGCAATGGCGACAATGCTAAAGTGCACCTGATCCACTTTGCAATGAATGCTGCGGCCAGTGAGGACATCACGCTGGGCGGCACGGACGCCAACGAGCGCGCACCGCATCTGGCGTCCATTGGCAATGGTGGCATGCTAGCCGTGTGGGAAGGTAGCTCATCAGGCGGTGACCTGGCCGAGGATGATGTCCGCACGATGTACGCCCAGGTGTTGGATGCATCAACGGGCAAGATCATTAGCAGCAAGGTGACGGTCGACAAGTCTGTGGTGGGCAATCGCTTTCAAGCATTGAAAACGTTTCCGGATGGCAGTGTAGCGTACTTATCGAAGGGCAAGAACGACACCTCGTTGCAGGTTGTCCGCTTCTTTGGATGCTAAAGGATCCTTGGAGTTTGTCTTTGACATATCTCGTAGGTGTTGTGTAACGGTTGTTACATTGACGCTTGCCCGTCAACATCACGACTTGGCAACACAAACGTACGGAGAGCGGCTCAGTTTTTTGCTGGCAAGTGGGTAGCAACATCCAACATGCGTCACGGATTGTCTACCGTGACATTTGCTAGCCAGACAAATTCGATAGCCTACACCTCTACAGTTTGAACACAACGACGTTGGAAATAGCTGACCGCTAAGACCGCTCAAAGCTTTGGCTGCCAATGGAGACGTGACGTCTTTCCTATAAAGAAGCTCATCGATTAGCATACATGCACTTCCTGTGACATTCTTTGGTGCTTGTAGCGTAAACGGAAGACTCTGGTCAAATGTTCACGTCCGATTACGCACAAGGATAGCACCACTTGGAAAGAGATTGGCCTTAGACACAATCAACGTGTATGATCGTGGCTCAAAGGTTCACACACTTCGTAAGTGTAACAGTCTTGGAGGAAGACATACTCACAGACATGGAGAAACGTCTGGATGTGTATGCTCCATTCATTTGGTATTGATTACTCCTCCACTGTACACGGTTGGCATGCAATCCCCTTTCTTGGATAACGATTGTCCAGTTATGAACTTAGTAGCCTTTCGCTTGTGGCAAGAAGCTCCGTTTATTGCAGTCGCCTTGTCGTATACCCTGTGAGCTAATGCCTTAGGTCGGCTCTTTGCAATGATGTGCTAGCACAGGATTGTCCTCAGCGTCCGCTCGCGAGTTTACTAGGCTGGAGGCTGAAGATAAGCTGTACAGCGGGAAGTTCGTGCTTTCAATTTTGCGACGGTCGACACTTTTGACACTATCCCGGGCTGAGGCGCCGCAACAAACACCGACACTATTGATCGAGTCAACTTATTGCGTGGTCATTCTGCAATCTTCATCCGAGTGGAAACGACGACCGCCTTTTTCGAATGCGTCTACTGTGTGTCCTCGTAATGGCCGTGGCCACTTTAACCGCTAGCAATAGTGCTGCCCCGGCAGATCGAGCTACGGACGACATCAAACTGTGGCAAGCAAACCCACAGGACCGGATCGACACAATGGATGCATTGCACATTAAGACAAGACCCAAGCGAATGCTTCGTGGTGTTAGCAATGAGGACTACGAGGTTGACAACGATGTTGACAACGATGTTGACAACGATGTTGACAACGATGTTGACAACGATGTTGACAACGATTCCAGCACGAGTGATACTTTTTTAGAAGACAGAATCCAACAGAAGTTGGCAAAGAAGTCGGTACGACTGCAGCTCTACGAAGTATGGTACGACTGCAGATTCACGGTCGAGAAAGTTTCGAAACACTTGACGATCAGTTCAAGTAACAAACTCTTTCCGACATATCACGCTCTGAAAAAAGGCTATGAACGATACTGCGCACGTCCGCATGACAAACCGATACGGCCCGTAAGTGATGAAACGTGCAAGGAAAGTTACTTGGCACAGATACTCGACAACCATGACGAATCGCCATAGGAATCAAGCAGGATTCGTTGCAACTCTTGTGCCGAAAGAATAGCTAGAACTCACTTTACATGAAGACTTTAGTAGTAAATGGAGACCAAATAATATCGTAGAGGCGTTATGCATTCCATGTCGTACGCTATTTCTGCGCAGTGGTTGATGTGCTTTCACTTTTCACGATGGAGAAGCATCGTTTGACTTGGCATAAACCAGCTACGACGGAATGCAGGAAGACCTCGTTTTGATTCTTGTATTATTGAAAGGATAGGTAGGTGCTAGTCAATGCCAATGAATGATCTAACGCCTAAGTGTCTACGTACTTCAGCAATCTACAAAAGCTAAAAGCAGCGGGGTCACTGTCTCCATTTGCGCTAGTCCTGTTTCGAGCCCAGTTTATCGGTCCCTTTCTGAAGTGTGGCAGATTCGGGGAACTGGTTGATCGGATTCGGCTTGAGATTGGCGAAACTATGGTGGTTCCGCGAGAATGAATCTCCTTCCTCGGGCTTATAGCGGTCCCATGCAGGTGTCTCGCGGCGATCACGGCTTACATTAACGTCGGGATCGGACATCAGATGGCGAACACCACTGAAAGCGGCAATTCCGACACCAACGGCCACACACAAAAGCATCGGATAAATCTCCGGGTCACGCGAAGAGACCCAAGCAAAACTTTGCTTGTCACGCGGTCCAGTTGGCACCGGCACTGGCACCTTTGGCTGCTCCATTGTGGCAGGGCTTCCACGCATATTGCGAATCTTTTGCATCCGAGCGAAAGTGGCTTTCATCGTGATATCTCAATCTGCAATGTTCTTGGTCAGCTGGAAATGAATTCTGAGGTCATTGAGTTTTTGTTTCATGCCTTCCCAACATCAGCGGCGTCTCGTATCATCGCACCTCACATAGTTCGTCTGCCATCTTCATCACTGTCCCATCACAACCGTTTTGTTATTAGAATATTAATAGCACTGCCGCAGCGCTCAAGCCAAAGGCACCATTGCTTCATGGTGGTTTTATAACTGTTGCATTTGGGTTCTTGTTGAAACATGCAGTTAGTCACATCTCCGCACAAGGTTTTTGCTGACCTTCAGGTATTGGGAACTTACGTGTCGTCCACTGCATCTGAAGATCTACTCCAGCGTTTTTCATGTCCTGAACAACCATATTCGGTTCCTAGAAAGTGGCTTCATCAGATGTACCTGGCACCCTCATGAACATTGCGAGGCGGCGATGATACGGGACGTGGGGTCAGGCACGCCAACAAGCGGTCGAAATGGGACAGTGATGGAGATGGCAAACGGACAATGCGAGGGGCAATGATACGAGACGCCGCTGATACGCGACGTGGAGTCTGGCATGGGAAAGAACTCAACGGCCTCAGATTAACATTACAGATTGAGATATCACGATGAAGGCCACTTTCGCTCGGATGCAAAAGATTCGCAATATGCGTGGAAACCCTGCCACGGTGGAGCAGCCAAAGGTGCCAGTGCCGGTGCCAACTGGACCGCGTGACAAGCGAAGTTTTGCTTGGGTTTCTTCGCATGATGCGGAGATCTATCCTTTGCTTTTGTGTGTGGCCGTTGGCGCCGCGATTGCCGTTTTCAGTGGTGTTCGCCATCTGATGTTCAATCCCGACGTTAATGTGAGCCGTGATCGCCGCGAGACACCTGCTTGGGACCGCTATAAGTCCGAAGAAGGGAAGACATTTTCGCGGAACCGCCACCATTTCGCCAATCTCAAGCCAAATCCGGTCAACCAGTTCCCCGAATCTGCCACACTTCAGGAAGGGACCGATGAACCGTTCTCAAAACACTTGTGAGTACAAAAGAATTTTGCAAAATCGACTAGCGTAACGGAGACAGTGTACTTAGCTGTTTTTAGCGTTTGCAGATTGTTGACGTACGTAGGCACTTAGGCGCCAGCTCACTCGTTGTCATTGACTAGCAACTCAGACCCGTCCTAGATTATAAGAATAGGGATGTGAATACATGATGCTGAGAAACTGTAACAACTATTTCATACCTGCATCCCGTAGTAGCTAACATCAGCGCTGTCATCGTCTAGCAGCACCGGTATACTCTGTGGAAAAAGAAAAAAACAAGATGCGTGATTACTGTCACAAAGTAAAAGAGGATCTACCATGAACTAATATGCTTTACCCTGGAATCGGCACGGAAGGACAGCACCTGATCAGGTACTTTAACGCCAAACTTGGTCTCAATAAGTAGCTTCAGCTGCGATACCTTCATCTGTTGAGGAATCTTCTTGACCAAAGGCTTGAGTGACGTAGCTTGCATTGACATGGGAATGATGCTAACTTTAATTAAACTTGATGCCAGCTTGCGTGGACCAACAGTTGATCCGCTGCCAGTCGTGCTGCCAACTTGGTCAATTGAAATTTCAGGATACAGCTCGCGCAGACGCATGTAACGCGGATGTGCTACTAGCACACGTTTGCGCTCGTTTTCATCTTCGCCGATGATAGCCAATTTGTGCAGAACTCGTTTTAAATATAATTGTTCCGCTTCCGTGCGCTCTTTTTCGCGAACAGGACTTGCGTTGAATACAGAAATATGGTCTGTACGTGCAATAACCAGCATACGGACCTCACCCAGGCTCATCTGCGTCGTCAGCGGATTGTTTGAAAAACGAAGCGTGGCCAACAGCGGAAAAGCATTGAGTTCGTCGATAGAGGTCCACGAGTCCACGAGATTCTCGCTCAGCGATAGCGTCGTTAGTTTCTGGAATTCTGTGACAGGCCTATCATTCTCAACAACGAGCGTAACAATGCGATTTCCATTCAAAACGAGCTGGTTCAAGTTCTTGAACATTTTTCCAACAGTTCGCAATAATGTTTTCCAGGAGACGAAGTGGTTTAGGCTCAGATCGAGGACTGCAAGCGTCTCAACCCAACCTCCATTTGACTGAAACACACTCAGCTGGTCATCTACATATTCATTGCCCACCAAATGCAACTGCTCGAGCTTGGAGAAATGGCGTGTCACCAGCTTTCCCACTTGGTCCCAGCGCAGCAATGTCTGATTCAACACGAGCACCTTGAGGTTTCCAAAATCTTCGTCCCCATCTTGATTATCACTCTGCTCGTCCAATGCAAACCTGTTTCCGCTGAGAATTAGCGTCTCCAGTAATGGTAGCTCACGGAGAACAGCGAGAATATCACCCCACGTACTAAACAGATTTCTCGACAAATCCAATTCCGTCAATTTTGGAGCGAGAGTCCTGAGACTTTTTCCTCCTTCTACTGATCCAAGCTCAGTGATTTGACATCCTGACAACGAAATTTTCTCAAGGTTTTCCAAAGTTTGCTGGGTACGGAGTTTCTTGACTCCAATAAACTCAATAGGTTTTCCACTGCCTAAAGTTGTCCCGACTTCTCCTGCCACTACTACATCAGTAGAATAAGCTCTAGAATCTTCCTTTTCTTCATGGTAATATTTCTCGTGCAATTTTTGCAGTAGAGAGCTCTGAATTGACGTTTTGTCAAAAGTAGTAGCCTTCATAAAGGAGCATTTGTAGCTCACTTGAGCGTCATTTTCCGTCATTCTACGACCAGAAGGACCTGTAAAGTACACTACACGTTCTCCAGTCGGCATTATCACGCTCCCGTCGTTTAACCCTCGACCCCAAACGTCCCATTCAATGCCTAAATGTATCTTCTCAGATTAGAATATTTTTTAACTTTGATACGTTTACTGAAAATTTCGTACAACGGACCGTAATATAGCGTAGACGCGTCCTTTGCTGTCGCTACTGGACCTACATAACGAATAGTGCCTAGTGATCCAGATCCATCATCGACGCGCTGTCCAACAACCCTTGTCTGTGTGAGAAGGGATGACAAAGATGACGTCGAGCACTTCATCTGAACCTTTGGTCGAACACAAAAAATTGAAAATTAGGACACGTCTTATTGAATAATACGTTGTGTAGCCATCTTTCCTGGCTTGACAAGCATCAGGAAGCAGCAGTAACAGACAAATGTAAGCACTAGTAAACAAGAAATTAGTACCGAAAAAGCTTGGTTGCTTGCGCATGGCAAACTTGAGGCTAACATAGTGTACTATTGACAAGAGTCTTCGTGGGATATGCATTTACCTGTTCGTCGTCTCGCTTGCATCAAGTGTAATGATGTCTAGTCAATATCTGGCAGCAAATAGCGTTTTCCAATCTTGCGGTTGTACTCCAAAACTTGTGCACGCACCTTGCGCTTCTTCATTAGTTTGTCGCGCGTACCAGCAAGCAGCACGGCGTTCGGATCTTCCGGAATAAGATCAGAGAAAACACCATACTTTTCCGTCAAAACACGAATCTTCTTTAAATGCTTCTCCTGCATCTGCAATCCGAGAGCATCTGCGTCCTCGAGGGTTGCCAGAGCACGTCGCATCCGACGCTTCCTCGCGTAATGGTCTACTAAAAAGCCAAAAGTCGGCGCATCAGCCTCCAGGTCTCCGTTTTCTATCTCGACTCGCATACGCTCCAGTAACTGTTCAGCCTGCGTCGTCCGCTTGGCACGAACGTACATTTGCATCATGCTACGGTACGTGAATTTGTTGGGCTTGTGATCAAACTTGGAAAATGTTTCGTCAACAAACACCTCGGCCGAGCGCAGACGCAAAGCATTTGAGTATACGGCAAGCATTGAGTTCAGCGTTATCAAAGACGGCTTCAGACCTTTTTCAAATGTCATCTCGTGGAAGCGAACCTCTGCACGCTTAATGTTGAGCGTCTGAAATTTGCCAAAGTCTTGGAGGTTCATTGGTTTCAACTCAAAATCTAGTGATTCTTCGCTGTCAGCAAAAAGTCGGTTGTCGTCCTCACCATAGACCTCCATACTCTGTTCGGTTTTGATCAAGTCCGTCGACTTGGTATTCTTCTGCTCTTCTTGGTCAGTCTTGTCTTTTTGACGTAGACTTTCCACTTGGGCTAGAGCCTCAGGGCTTAATTTGTAGCTGTCTGCTCCTTCCTCTTCATCATCCTCATCCTCATCAAAGTGTTTATCGTAGTTTGTGTTCTGAAGCGAAAAGGTCTCCTTACCTGGACGTGTCAAATCCACTTCTTTGCCTTCATCATCCCACTCGAGAGGCTCTTGATAGACTGGTTCAGCTTTTGGGAGTGCTTTCTCGTTACGAGGGGCCTTGTCCACAATACTTTTGATTTGAGCACGAGCGTATACATTAAACAGCGTATTATACACAAACTCCGTCATGGGAACATGGTGGCGCTCCATGTGACGAATGATCTGCTCCGCTTGAATAAAGTCACCGTGTTTAGCACATGCATGCAGCACAGTCGTATACGTATACAGATCCGGCGTATAATCGTACAGCTCTTGCATCTCATAGTAAAAATCAATTGCTTTATGTGCGTAATAGTGAGATTTTGCACACGCATTCATGAGCGTATTAAACGTGACAATTGAAGGCGTTAGCCCACATTCCAGTAAATCTTCCAACAAATTCAAAGCACGTTCCACGCGACCTTCCCGTGCAAATCCATTGATCAAACAACTAAATGCCACTTCATCTGGTTCCGTCACATGGGTCCGCATCAAATGAAACGTCTCAAATGCCTTATCAAGATCACCTTCTGCAATTGCAGCATTCATTAGAATCGTAAACGATGCACGATCAGGCACAAGCCCCGCAACTTGCATCTTTTCCATGACATTATATGCCCACGATATTCTTTTAGCTTTAGAACACGCAGACATTACAGCATTATAGACGGATACATCCGGCAAAACTCCACGTTCTTTCATGCGTCCAATAACTCGTACAGCTTGTGCAGCTTGTCCATTTGTACCGAGAGCCGTAGCGTACAACATGTAGGACTTGGCATTTGGTGGGACAACATGTGGCACATTCTCGAGTGCATCCATGAGCATTGTCTCAGTATCATCCGACGTATTACGACCGTCTGTGTGTTTCACTGGTCCCACTCGTGTCTCAGCTGCAATTGGTGACAAGTTCTTTTCCATTCGGGACAAGAGTGCATTGGCTTCTTTATGCAACCCTTTGATTGCATACACTCGCAAGAGAAAATTGTAATCAACAACTGCAAGTTCAGGTTTTCCTTGTCCATCCCCTTCAACTTCAACATTGCCGTCCGTCATTGCCTTACATGTCGCATCAACTTCTTTCAAGATATCGGGATCGGCTCGAGCAATAGCGTTTAATTTCTCGAGGGCATCAAGATGGTCGACGTCCTGGAGACTCGGCTCCGACTCATAGATATAATCGCCTTGAGGGCCCGATTTGTTTAAATACTCAAAAACATTATCTAACTCGTTGTTCAGGTCTTCGTTTTGCTCTAAAGCCGTCCACTCCTTGGCATTGCGGTCATTGACTCGTTTTGCAATCTTTGCGTCATGCATACGCTCGACATGCGAACGATGCGGCGCCGTGTCCTTCTTCAATTTCTGTTTCGTACTTAGTGCGGTGTGACTCTTGTTGCCTTTACTACGGTTCCAACTGGATGTTTTACTCACAAAAGCAGATGCGCCACCTTTACGCTTCATTAGGACGTTGCTATGCGAAATTGCACGCGATTGGAGCGAGTAGGAGGTGTATGGAAAGTCAGAGAGAACACCATTTAAATGAGACAAAGCAGCAGGCGCAAGCAAGGCGCTGTATCCTGCCAGAGGGCGTCGAGCACTTGCTTCAACGGCAAAGCGCAGTAATGCGGACATGTCACTTCAGAATGCGGAATAAGAGTGATGGTCGAGGAAAGCTCTGGCGGACAGCGAGTGATTAAAGGTACAAACTGTTGCACAGAAATGCGCAAAGGATGTCACCGAAAATAAGGTGTGCTGTGTATCCGGTAAAAAAAGTCGTTTTTTTTTTGTTTTTTTGTTATAACAATTACTGTTAAAACGAATGTATGATCACTGCAGGCGAAAATGATGTCAAGTCCATGTCGCATCCTGGGAAGATAGAGACTCAACTAAATGAGTAGCTACTTTGTAGCATACTTATGTTGCAATCTCGCTTTATTATGAGGAACATATCACAACAACTTAGACCTAGTATTCTATGAGAGTGTAAATCGTGTGCCCAGAGATGTGCCAATGACTGCGACATTAGGAAGAAACCCATGCAATGTAAAGTAGTGAAAGCTCTCTAGGAGAAACGATATTCTATAGAATGCGTACACGTCTCTAGCTACAATGGAGCTAACGACGCATGTCAATGTAGATAAAGTAAGCAAGCACTTTCCAATTGGGCGTCAATGGCCAAGCGACAAAGGTCTCCGAAGAACCGGCATCCCGGTCCTCTACTTACCTTAAGCGGGAAGTCCTCTATCATGGGGCCAAGGTTAAAGGGGAAGTACTTTTACTCCGCTGTGTGCATCACGGGAGGCAGTGCAGCGTGCGAACGTGACGGGGAGCAATATGTATGTACGGCTTGAGGTGTGGGGCACGTCGACAAAGCAGTGAACAGGCATTCACTTAGGCATCCACAAGTTCCTGCCCCGCCTCCGTTCGCTGAGCACGAATTCCAGTCCTATCCCCTAGGCTGTCCATTCCGACAAAGCTGCATGTCAGGTTGACCCGTCTGGAAAAGCCGGTTTACTACCCGGCCTCGCTTTCAAGGCGCCACGTGCTTCCTGTATGTGCTCGGGTTTAGCTATAATGATCCCACGTGCCCTTTTGGAGTGTCCACCGTGAAGCCGTCGGGTCGAGTCAGTAGAATAAGCTAGTGCATTTGAGATGGATGTAGAAGATCACGTGAGACATATCTTAAACACTCCTAAGTATTTTAATAGACACTCTAGATGAAGATTATCGCAACGACAGACGTTCGATGGGAGGAACGTTACTCATGATGTGGTGTGACGATTGACATTTCAGAAAACGGTCGTGCTGAGATCTACGGAGGCAAAGACAAGTGCATCATTATAATGTTGTGGCTTCGTCACCTTGTTAGAACTACTACAAAAGATGCGAGGACATTGGCAATGAAATGTCTGTTAACCAAGCGAGTACACATTGTATGGACGGCGTAAAATGATAGCGCTTTGCAGTCTTCACTGTGTATTAGAATCGGTGGGATGGTATAAGACATGCAGCGCTGTCCAATTGCAAAAGCGCTGCATGTCTTCAACCATACCACCGATTCGATGTTGTAGTAGTGCCTCAATGCGTTGCTTGGTTGGTGCTTACTATTCCATTGGATGCGTGCGTATCTTGACGATAACGATCGAGACACGTCAAGATGATTTTGACATCACGCTTGTCGTTCGTAACCCTCTCGAGTTGAAAAGCCAGTCACTTGAGACTCGAGAAGCGCTTCAACGACTACCCCATCTCAAGATGACATTCGGATCCAATGTACCTTCTTAATGGACCCACCTCGTGTCGTTCATCGAAGGAGGGCAGCATTAGTAGCAACATCCCGCTGGTCGTATGGTCTCTGCTACTTTGTTGTTACAGCCAGTGCCACAACTAACGCGGCAAAACGAGACTCGGAACGGCTCACGCTGGCTCTGCTAAGTGGTGCTTTTGCGTGACAGTTTGTCTTTCACAACGTTTAACGTAAAGCCCGATTGCGAGGTGTTATTGAAGACTAGTTGGACAATATGTGGGCATCTAGTAGCATGATCAGCACTAGCGATTGCGGTGATAGTTCACGTGGTGTGCGATTGGAACGCGACCCTAATAATAGACTAACCATTACGCAAGAAACAGACGACACGGGATCACCTGGTTGCAACGTGCAGCTATCCGACCAGGAAATTGTCACCGATCTATTGGCGACCCTACCCAAGCTTAAGGCTGCTGTCGAGGATCACGAAAACAAAGCTCCGAATTGGCTCCGCACGTCAAAAAGTGGCGATTCTGTTGAAATTTATGAACTCTTGCCGACTCATGATGGCAAAGGAGACGACATGGACATTGTGCATTCCGTGGTGGCAACAATTGAGATCGAGTGCCATTTTAACGAGGTCCTGAATGTTCTTACAAGTCATAAAACAAACCACGACTTGGAAGCGTCGATGCGAGCGATTATCCCCAAGAAAAAAGTTCGACAGGGTGAAGTTTTGCTACAGCCTCATGCTACAACGCTGGATGGATCTCCGGTCCGACGGACTGTAATCAAGAAATCCTCACGTGGATGTAGAAGTGTCACGTTTCACAACACGAGTATTCCCGAAAACGAAGAAGAGGGCGTGGACAGACAGCGTAAAGTGCTTGTAAGTGTTAGTATGACACGCTTTAAGTCGAAACGTCGAATTGATCTTCAAGGCCGACTTCGCAATTGCCACCAGCGGCTGCAAAAACTTTGTCTAGCAACCCTTACTCATCAGTTTGCGGATAAACAGCGCGCCGTGCATGTGATTAAGACTCTACCTCGATCGATACACGACCAGCTTGCTCCTATTGAAGAGAAGCACCAGAATCGATCTGTTCTCGGAAGTGGTTTGCGAGGACTGGATCATATTTCAGTGGGTTTCGACATCCAGACGAGGCATGTCCACTGTGTTGGTGCTCGAGGCGCTGCGCAGTCGACTAGGATTTTTGCTCACGGATATGCTTCTGTCACTCCTCCGGAACAATTTGGTCAACACCAACAAAAGATCACGACATCGTACAGTCCTTCGGAGTTAGCAAACTATCGCTCATCTCACGTGAATGCTGAAGCCAAGCATGTGATTAAGCTATTAACCACTTCATTGCAGCAATTTGAGCGCGTGATTCGGCGTCGTCGACTTGGGTTGCAGACGTTTATTAAGATCAAGCCTGGTGATCGAAGTGGCGGTGATCGCCAAGGATTCCAGACTTGTGAAGTTTGCAACAAACGTTTCTCACTACTTCGACGTGAGCTTTACTGTCAATTATGTGGTCATGTGTGTTGTGGGGACTGCTCCAAGCTATACGAAGTGGAGACTAACGTTGGAGACGTTAGCAAAAAACGTTTGTGTGTGCGCTGCATCGCTAATGTGGATTCTTGTATCTTCGAAGATGAGGACTTCATTGCAGCTCAGGGTCCAGCAGTGATTGATGATGATTATGAGCATGATGACGATAACGATAGCGATGAGCTTGAGTGTAGCTATGATCGTCGTGACGAAAATAACACGTACGCGAGTATTGGGTCCACGGTCGCTTGCTCGGAGCTTGAAAGAGGGTTTAGCCTTGATGAAGCATCGTCAGAGATCTATCGAGATAACGCGCTGGAGCGCTCAATGGCTCTGCACACGCTTGGTCGACTAGTACAGTCGCAAGCCCATGCTCCCGGAAAGCAGACTTTAAGGGAGCAATCTTGCCTGAGCCAGTCGCATCTTTATCAATCGCAACTTACGCAGAGTCAGCTCAGTCAATCGCAGTCCAAAAAACTGATACATTCTGGGCTAAGTCGGTCGCAATTCCAGAGGTCTCAACTTACGCAAAGTCAGCTCAGTATATCTCAATTCAAGAGGTCACAGCTTACACAGTCTCAACTGAGCCAGTCGCAGTCTAGGTTGCAATACCAGCAGTCTCAGCTTACACAGAGTCAGCTCAGTCAGTCACAGTCTCGAGCGCAATTCCAACAGTCTCAGCTAACCCAGAGTCAACTTAGCCAGCCTCCGTCTTCGCTCACGCGGTCTCGTTTCAACAAGGAATCTCAGGTGGACGAGTCGGTCGTGGCGCAGCTTCGTGCAGATGTTGAAAGTCATTTGAAACGCACGTTGCGAGCGACACTCAAGAGGTTTCCTGGAGCTGACGAGTCCCAGTTTTCCATCGCACCTGTAGAGCGTGACTACCAACTCGAATTCGACGGCCGTCAGACCATGTCTCCATCGCACCCGTTGCCACCAAAACCTCTTCCAGCTAAAGAACGACGGAGACTACAATATGTTATCGGCTCGGGTGCAATGAGCCCCACGTACGACCGAAGTGCACTCAATATGCTGGCTCAGATCGCATCGACGCACCTGAATTGCCCTATCGGATATGTAACCATGATCGACCAGTCGACGCAGTACGTGGTTGGGCTCCACCCTCGTGGCGCCATCCGAATGTCCATTTCTCGAGAGGAATCCATGTGCTCGTATACCGTTTATCATGAACGTCCACAGGTGGTTAAGAATGCGCTAAACGACATTCGCTTCAGTCATATGGGCTTCGTAACGCAGACCGGTCTTCGGTTCTACGCTGGGTTTCCTATTCGAGCACCCGACAATACCGTGGTTGCCACACTTTGTGCGGTCGACTATAAACCGCACAAGTATATTTCCGCCAAGCAGTACGCCGAAATGGAGGCGTTAGCAAACTTGGCAAGTACGCTCATTATCGCTCCCGAACTGAGACCAAGACGGACAAGCGGGATTTACGCGAGCACCCAAGATGGTAAAGAAAGTTGAGACAACGTTTGAGGTAGCACGTGCATGGATAACAAGCAATATCTAATAGGAAATACAATGTGCCTACAGAAGACACTCAGACATTCGAAGGATCGAGTACTGCATTCCTTGGTCAGTACATTGCACGATTTTTCGGCTTCACGAGGTCCGACGCCAATTTCGCAAGTGCCTCCATTGTAGCGTAGTCTTTTGTCGAAATGTTGTTGTGTGATACGGTGTTGTCTATAGTACACAGAGACGCCACCACTTCACCATCGGATCCGTAAACGGGGAAGCCAACGTAGAATTTGATACTCAGGTCTTTGATCACTGGCATCTGAGAGAAACGCATGTCACGCATGGGGTTCTTCAAGATGAGCGGCTTTTCAGCGTACACGGCATGGATGCAAACAGTGTTGTTACGCTGCAGCGTGAACGCTCTCTCCGGTAGATGGTACGTGCCGACAGCGCGAAAGCTGTCATTGTCGATTACCGACACGAACCCAATTGGACAATTCAGGCGCTTTGCAGCAACTTGAGCAATTACGTCGAGGGCGGCGTGGTCGTATTCTGGCTGCAATACTCCCATCTGCTCGATGGCTTCGAGACGGTGTGTTTCTTTCTCCGGTGCTGGCGCAGGAGGTAGTGGGTGGTGTTCAACATTGGTCTTTTCGGCGTCAAACTCGAAAACATAGTCGTGCTCTTCCGTGCTTGCGACTGTGCACCGGTCTGAGCTGCTGTAGCGGTCCTTCGTGACACGCAAAGTCTGACTCACATAGTTCTGCACGTCTTGCGTCACCTGTTGAACTTTCGTGGCGTTTTTCTGGTGTTTGGTCTTCACGCGAGACTTGGCACATTTAGCCGTTGGGCTAACAAATTCGTACTCGTACGTAGCTGCCACGGGGTTAACAAGCTGTCCGAGGAAGTCCAAAGCTCGCGAATTTTGACTCGGGTCGTCCGAGTACAGCTGCTCCGTAAGTTCCTCAACAGAACTCGTGTCCGAAGGCATTGAGGCAGTGTCGCCGTCAAGGTCCATTGCATCCAGGTGATACTTGTCGTCATTGAACCAGAGTACATCGTCAACTCCAACGACAGCAGGCCCCAATGCCCCCAACAAATCTTTGTCATCAAAGACACAAGAGTCTACGCGATAGACACACTGAAGGCAGCATCGGTTGCGACGGATCTCTCCAATACGAGCTTCCACCTCGTGAAGTTGAGAACAATCTCCACACACCATGTGACCACATAAGTGGCAGAAAAAGTCACGACGGAAGAAGTGGAAGCGCTTGGAGCAGATCGAGCAAGCTTTCTCCAGAGACGGATCGTCGTACCCGGTTGGGAAGTAAATGTACGTTTGGAACCCAAAGCGACGGCGACGCACCACCTGCTCGAATTGACACAGGGACTTGGTTAGCACGTTGAGAACGTGCTTAGCTTCCGGGTTCATGATATTCTCACGACAACGGGTAGTTTCGGGAGAGTTCCGTACCGAGACGCCAGACGACGTTGGATCCCATTTCTTAGTGGTCTCACCAAATTGCGGCGGTGGGGTGGGTGACGCATATCCGTGAGCAAAGATCCGTGTAAGGTGTGTGTTGCTACTAGCAAAGAGTTGGTCGTTATGCGAGCTCTGGATGTGAAATCCAACGCATAGGTGGTCAAGTTCGTTTCGCAAGGCTGTGCGATCGGATGTTGGAATCAATTGGTCGTGCAGTTCTTTTGGCAGCGTTTTCATAACGTGGACGGCGCGATCATCACCCAGATATTGCTGCGTGAACGTGGAGAAGCACAACTTCTGCGTCTTCTTGTTGCCTCCTAGATCCATCACCATCCGTGGGGTCAGCGTCGCAACATTGACGCCAATCAACGCTTGTTCCGGAGCTTCCTTTCCCATATCCTCGCGCGGCACCACCAACGATTGGCGTCGCAGGTCGGACGACAACTGTCGTCGCTGGCTGAAAAGGACGTCTCCCTTCTTGAATTTTTTGCCGGCCAACGCCTTCATGGTGCTCTCGTACGCATTGGATTCATGCGTGACCAAGATATTGAGCACTTCGTTTAGATGGCAACGAAGTTCTGTCTTGGCGACAACTGCGTACGCGATGTCTCGATCTTCTTCCACAACATCTTTATTGGATGCTTTAGCGAGTTCAAATAGGTCAACCCCGTGATGACGATGTCCCTGTTTCCAACGACGACCATACGTGTCCCGCGTAACGGCCGCATTAAGCTTGGACACCGTGGCGACAATGTCGTCGCAGATTTCTCGATCCGACATGACGAGTCTTTCATGGCCATCGGGGGTCATCTTTACTAGACCCGTTGGACCGGAACGATAAGATTCAGAGACGCTGGTTTCGTGGCGAGAACTCATAACAGTGATGGTTGAAAGACCGCAAGTTGAAAAATGGTTGACTGGTTCATTGACCGATGCAGGTGGTGGTGCATCATTATGAATACTATTGCTATGCCACAGATAGTGTGTATCTTGTAGGCAGTGGGTAGTACGACGTTGGAAGAGAGACTTTTGCTTCCAACATGCAATATATGGCAATCAAATGATCAAATTACTCTCTCATTTTTGTTGCTTTGAGAACGCTTCATCTTCTATCTTTTACTGCGGCGAAGCCACTCTACGGGCTTAACTTCATTCACTATTGCATTAGTCCTAGTTTCAAAGATCACTTACAATTCCATTGTTGACGAGTCTGAAAATATGTTCAGCTAACTGTACGCGTTGCATAGTTTACTCCTGATGCATCTCAAAGCAGTATGATGAAGAGCTTTGTTTTCGTTTGAAATCTGCAAGCTAATGGGATCGATATCAGTCAGATCGGAATCTTGTTCCATATCCTACAGCCTACTCGTAAGTGGAAAAGATCTTTTAAGAAGTTTCACATAGGAGCAGGTATATTCACGTTGACGAATTGACCTCTAAGATGGTGTTAGAAGTCTGCTTGTTCTCGTCCATAATACTTGCAATTGCGTTTGAAGCGCAGTGTTAGCATTCGGCGACGACTTTACGTCCATCCTGGCCTTCTTGCAAATGTTTCTGAACTTTCAAAGAAATCGTTGCATTTCTTGACCATTAGCTTGTTCTCTATGGGTCTAACATGTTCTTAGTTAGCAATCCTACAGATGGATCGACTGGGCTTGATATTACTTCAATCTTCTTTCTTTCTAATGCTAAGCAATACATGGAGCGAGGACATCGTCTAAGCGGTCACATATTTGCGTACTAATGGATGATTTTCTTGATCTATTAGAGTTTTTGGCTTAAGGTTCAATGTAGGGCAGAACAATCTCTCCAGCCGTGGCCGTTTAAGAGCTAGACTTGTTGCTACAGTGTCCTGAATCCAGGTGACAGTGCACAAAGTCGTCACTTCATGCGTGCACCGTTGTCACAATGACTTAATACATTCTAATCACATAAGGTAAAAAGTTCGACAATGACCTAAGAACTTTGAGCTGGATCGTTGAGTAAGCGTCGTCGTTGATTACACATGCAACTGCAACAGACCGATGGAGAGCAGAGTCGACGACGAAATCGTCGGACGTCGACCGAGACACAGGCAAGGTGATGCAGTGGGGCTTAGAAAATTTGGTGGTGTACACCGCAGCACTGTAGTTTGTAGGACGACAGGACGATGGTCACGTGTTCATGTACGTTTTGGAAAGGAGGTGTAGGTCGGCATTGGTGCGAAGTTTTAGCTAATGCGGACTTGTGCAACATCCATTTTGCACGCAACTTCTCCTTCCTGAGCCATCGTGATTGCCACGGACGCAGTAGAATTGACACTTAAATCTGCTCCTACAAAAGGAAGTAATGTCTTAGTTTCCAAACTACTGGTCCTCCATTTTTTCGTACCGGTAGCATCCATTGGTGTAATGCAGAAGAAGATCTTGCCTGTCGAGTTCTCCTTTGAGTACCCCATGCCATCTAAATACACCCAAATATTCAAGTCAATAGATAGACTGTTGAGATTGTCAATAGTGTTGCCCATACATTGTTATGCACCACTTCTCGAGCATGTTGCGCTGGACTTTCACTAGAATTTCTAGTTATTCATGATCCACAATTCATATAATTTTACCATTTTCATCGGTAGTTGTTACATGTATTCATATATTTTCTAGAAACTCGCAAATTTATCGTCTCTTCAATTCGAAATGCTTTAAATTGGAAGTTACGTGCAATACCACGGGCTTCAACTTTACAGTCAAATAATCCCAAAAGCCCCGACAGAATCAGAAAAATGGCAATAAAGTAGTAGAAAACTCGTCATCTTTGTGGGTATCAAATATCACGTACTGTATTACCGATATTGACGGTATTATTTTTCTTAATAAGTTCTATATAACAGATTTTTTATCCAATGAATACGGGCACAAATGCAAGTACATTAGTGTACCGACACTTATTTTTAGGAAATTTTGGTTAAAGTTTCCATTTTTTAAAATATACGCAGCGCATTAGTTACTTAATTAGCTAAAAGGCCGATCTATATCAGCTTTTTTCACGTATTAGGTCGCGTACCCGATCTATCACTCCGGCGCAGCGAGCAACACCATAAACATTGCAGTGTTGAGGCACTTCATATTCATGTGGTGCTCGCAGTTACCAATTATAGGTACCACAGGCTTGAATACGATATCCTTGTACTCGATGATAACGGAGTACGTGGCGTGTTTCTCGAATGACTCCCAGCCGTTTCTGGTCATTTCGGACGCATCAATGACAAGATCATTGCTCTGTCCAATAATATGCCCAGTCATTTCCTGAGTTGCTGTGTACGAGTCCGAAGGTTGTTCATGAGCTGATCAAGCAACTTGAGCATATGGCCACCCTTGCGCACGTGCTGGTTGAGCGTAACGTTTTATTCTTCGACCAGCGACGAATGTCTTGTATCCTGCATCTCCTCTTTTTCCTCTTCCCGTGCTTTTTCCATTTGCACCATGACTTCATTCCCAATGTCCGAATTCTTACGGATTATGCCTCGGTTTCTTCCTCCTTGCTCTTACCCAATTTCCTCATTATTCATCTCCATCCTCGGCTCTTCGTCCACCCCTTCTTCTTCAGCATCAGCAGCAAAACGATGATAGACTGCGTAGACGTCAATTAGATCGTCAATGGTAGCGGCATCACGATAAACTGTGAGTTTGTCCTTTTTTGCTTTCTTCTTACCCTTCTGCCTCTTGTGCTTTCCTGTGTCGTTGCTGTCAACGTCATCAGCATCAGCACTGTGCATACGCAACACACGTACCTTTTCAAGTTAAACAAGACGGTCACGTTCCTTCGCAGCAGTCTCCTCCGGCGACATTCGTCGCTCCGTTGCCTTAGCCTCAAAGACAAATTCCCGCGTCATTTTTGTCAACGTCGTCTATCAGCTCATGGTATCACTCCCTTGCCATTAGCACGCGTAGGACAGAACTCGAGCAGTCCACACAGATCCGCAAGCCCTTCAGCTCATTTGTTCTGTTTCCCCTTCGTGCAAGTTTCATTTCCTTTTGCCGCTCCGCTTTGTACAGTTTGCCTTCATCATAACCTTTGCATCACATCTTTGTATATCTTCCTCTTCTCATTTCTTTCTTAGTTGCTGGTGCATCGGCGGTCTTCCTTCCCACCTCCGAAGTAAAGTTTGCAGTCAATATCTGTCCACCTTCTTCCGAGTCGTCCTCCTCGTCCGATAATCCGGTCACATCGAAAATACCGTATTCATCGTCCGTAATTTTTGCACCTTTGTGCGTTAAGAATGGCGCAGTCTCGTGTCCTTCTTGCTCCGAGTCTGAGCCGTGTAGCGCACGCAACGTCGACGCGTTGCGCATCTTGCGCTTGCACGGCCCGTCTAACACCAAGCCATCATCTTATCCTTCATGGACCATGTCAGGTCCGAGACGCTTGTCCTTTAACACGTTGCTCTTGTCGCGAGTATTAAACGCATCGCCGAGCGAGCGTCTTGTAACGCTTGCGTTCGACTTCAGCACGCGGCTGGCCTGTGCCTTTCACCTGAGAAAAGAAAGCACGGTAAAGAGAAGACACATACGTAGATGCAGACGTAGGCCAGACGTTCACACGACGGATGAAGAGACTTGCAGGCCTGCGCACAAGTTCAACGGCCACCACCAATCTAACGGGAAAGGTACCACACCGAGAATGCAGGCGGGTAAAATTAGTACTAAGTAAAGGTGGTACCCATGAGTCTGGGTTGGGTAATTGCGTTTACCCACGACTCAGACTCATTCAAATTTCATTACCCACGACTTAAACTCATACCCGCGGGTAATTACCCATGTTACCCGCGCAATAAACATGCGGACTATTAAAAAATATGAAAGGGAGAAAAGCATAATGAAAATTGGTAATATAAGTATCCACACTCTACGTCTCCCACTGGAAAACTCAAGCGAGCTGACAAAGGAAAACACTAGTCCCTTGCCGACAAAAAAACGTGACCCTGTGTCATTATCCAATTCTTGAGGCACAGAAGCCTCTCCAAGCTTTTAGGGGAAAGCGAAGTTCTGTTCTACCTGTAAGTATTTCTACCTTGAGCGAAACCTCTCTCAGACGGAGTTGAAGACGCGGGGATGGCCAGATAAAATCTTGCCATTCTTGCAAGTGTTGGGAATTACAGCTGATGCAGTGCTCACCACTCCAATGGCAATTAGTGTATGTGAACAGGCGAAAGAGCAAAATAAGATTGAGCTTTTTCCTCGACTTTGCTCACTGCGATCTGTAGAACTCTGCCTTCAGCAAATGCGAAGACGTGTGGCTTCATGTCGTCATCGCTCTTGTCGTTACAAATGTTGACAGGTGGCGGAGGCGGAATTTCTTCTTATGACTTCTGATGACTGTATGCTGCACCCACAAAAAGCAACTCAATTGCTTGTGGGCTATGGCCAAGAGCCCAAAATTGCTTTGGCCCTTCGTCGAGGTTTTTGAACCAGCTAATATTCCATCTTGGATCTAACACCGTTGCAAAGAAGTTTGCATCTTGTTTAAACGCCAGCTTGATATATATTTCTTAAGTTTGCTTAGCATGGCCTGCGCCACCGGCTCCAGTTGCTTTGCATCATATGTGCGGTAGACTTTCATTAAAAAAGGCGTAATGAGTCATTAACACATTAAACAGTTTTAAAATAATACGAGCAGGTGTGTCTGATGTATGTCTCAGAAATTTGGTACATTTACCCATGGGTACCCATGGGTAAGCTGGGTAATTGAGGCCAATTACCCATACCCAACCCATGAGTCTGGGTACGGGTAATTACCCACTGAGTCTGAGTCTGGGTACCACCTCTAGTACTAAGGCACATCATGAAGAAGGCTACAAACACACGAGAACTGATCATAAACAGGATGGCAGTGATCTTTCTGGCAGAGTATCGGTCAATCTGAGCCGGTATAGTACGTGCAGAAATAGAAGATGAATATTTAGGAGTGCTGAGAATTGGACTGCCAATTCCACTCGACAAGTTTACATGTTATATGCGGAGACACATCATTTCTGTCATACATGGATGAGGTTCCAAGTTGTCTTTTTTCTTTAGAGGACGTTTCTGTTGGCTGTGTTGTGTCGACAAGATTGGATAGACAGGGTACTAAGCTAAGACATTCTCCTTTATATACGGACATACCAATCCGTCAAAGCCAGTTGCGGCCATGCCTCTGACATAGACATTTCGTTGGTGTTGTATTTGGCTCATCCATGCGAATGATAAATGGTCCATCGCGGGCTTTCAAAGTTTCCCACTACTTTTCAACAATGCATTCTTTCACGAACATCATACTCTTTTGTTTGGCTTTGAAGAGCGATTATTTGCCTCCGAATCTACATCAATTTGCGCATAGACACAGCGAGAATCAACTTGAGACTACTTGTTGAAGTGTTTAATCACTACGCGCCATTAGTGTGCCTCAAGGAGGTGAATACTAATGCAAATTGCAGGTATCTCCTCAGTAATCAGTGTTATAGTCTTTTTTACCCGTTCTTATATAATAAAAGTATAAGTATAAGATTAGCAGACAGTATATAGAAGAACAAGTGCTTCTTGCCCATCCGTAAACTGCTTTCATTCAAAGGTACGACAGATATTGAACCGTATACTTGACGTTTCGAGAGACTCATTCCCTCTGACGTCACTTTCCATTTGTCTCGACAGCTCAAGAACTCCGCAAGCCATCGAAAAGTATGCGCCTTCACTACACCACAATATGTGTGGCTATGGCTGCTTGTCAAGTCGCTAGCTCGCATGCAGTGCCATCCCGGAGCAACCCGGAAGTCCTCAACAAGAGACATTTAAGGTCGAAGTCGGACAAGCTTGGACTTGACGAAGAAGAAAGGGTACGCCCTTTTGATCTTAACGTTGCATATGAAGATACAGCTGAAGATGTCGTAAGGAGTGTAGCAGAGTCATCGGGGACGACTTTTAAACATCTGAGCGGACTGGACCAAATTAATTCGATGTTGAATAATAAAACAAAATATCCAAGTTCAAGTTCGAAACCATGGCAAGGCCTAGACTCGATTCTCCGATCATGGCTCCCCATTAATGCAGAACAAGCCTTCTATAACTTGGGTCTAAATCCGCTTGATTTAGGCGTAACGGAAAGCGTCAAATTTACCGCATGGATGCATTACGTGAACATACTCAATGAGGGTAGAAATTCGGATGACAAAATAAATTCTGGCCACGTATTCGCAAAAATATTGGACAAGGCTCTAAACAAGTTTCGTGAATAAATAAAAATATATTTTTGCTACATATATACCATCTTAACGGGAAAGTGCAAGAATCTAATACGGTGTTGTCGGAGACACGCACGTGGTTTGTCAATTGTGCCAGAACGAGACCGGAGTAGTCCGTAAAACACTTCGGACCAAGACCTTCGCCATCGTGCCCTTTTCCTAACAGCAAAAGGTATTCCCAAGGTCTCGTGACCTGAATTCACAAAGCGTTCCAAACTTCACTGCTTTTTGCATCTAATGCATAGCGTCTTTCTGCAAACGTAGTTATCATCTTCCGTCATCTCCGTCGTCAGATTCATTAAGGAACCAACATGTCCGTCACAGTCAAGGCTGTGGACCAACTCTGTGTGATGTCCGGTAAAAAAGCGACTCCGTCACTGGCCATCGGCCAGACGCTAGGTCCTTTCACCATTAATATGATGGTGTTCTGCAAGGCAATCAACGACCGAACGTCCAAGATGACGGAGAACACACCGTGCTAGTGGTGCTCATGGCTAAAGGGAACCGCAGATTTGCATTCGCCAAGACATCGCCAGCCTCAAGGTCCTTCAAGAAGACGGCAAGTATTACGTCAGGATCGGCGACCCTGGACAGCAGGCCATGAGACCCATGCATTTTCATCACATCTCCAGATTGCTAAGGTCAAGCAGCAGGACGAGATGGTGGTCTACCATTGACCTCAGTCTATTTGCAAAACCTCATCGGCTCGGCCAAGTCCATAAGACTTAATGTTGTGCAGTACAGTGTAAAGGCTTTCGAACAGCTAGAAAACATAAAGAGTCTCCACACATTTTTGATTCTTTTCTCTTCTGTTCATGCCAAACTGGGATACGGTTCGAGAGGTGACAACCTCGGAAGCAGGGGACAACCTGCTTCCACAGCACTCATTGCCGCGACGAGTCTCTTTCCAACCTGTTGGAGCTGTCGCGCAGTGCGCTGAGTCATGCTGCAAACACATGATAATAAACCCTTCAGGCGAACTGCTCCTGCAGACGTAGCTTGAGATATACCGAAGCCTTTGTCCTTGCAAAGGCTATCGTGAGTGAAACTGGTCACACTCGTAATAAGCAATGCATGCTTAAGCTCTGTGGGAGGTCTTAAAAGGCATTGACAGACTGAAGAAGCGTCTACTCGCCAAATTCCATTTTAAATTCGCAGAAACTGGCGTGGGGTCGAGAGCAAATGATGTCGCTTCCCTACAACTGAAGTCGTTGAAGTGTATCGCCATGATGCCAGAATCAAGTAGACGAGCGCTACTTTCTGCAGTTTAAAGACACTGACACATCCCGCAAGTTTGCAGCGATCACTGTGCTGCAAGCCCGCGCGACTGCAGTGCAAATTTTTCGACATTTGCTTATATGGTACTCCATTCGACGTGCACTACGCGATTCCATAATGCAGCGCCGACGACACGGCCGCTGCGTCAGGGATCCGCATATTGTGAGAACCGACTCATTGCGTCCATGAATCGGCGGACAGTATACGTATGATCATCCTTTGTATGTTCATCTTCTGCTAGTTGGTCCGGCGTAGAGCCTCGTGCAGTGTCGAAAATAGCGAACACGTTGTCCACACTCGCTGCAATGGTCCAGGCCTTTGCTGAGCTGTTGACGTTGGTTCTTTTACTAAGAAACTTACCCATCATAATGACATGCAATCCTGCAGCTGCATTCCAGGGCGTCATCTGTTTCAAACTGATACCTTGATTTGTAATGAACTTGCAATTAAAACCTTAGCACTGACTTGGCGTACTGTATACCAACTAGTCAACGAACCCCTTTACGTCCACGAGTTTTGAAGCGACATCAAACAGTACAGTAGTTTTTCTAATTGAAGAGAGGGCTTTTCTCTCCGTTGATTGGGTCGATGGAAGACATGTTGTACGAATGTCGACCGAAGCTTAGCATTATAATACCGATTAGATCGTCCTTACGGAAGACCATGGCGGAAGCAACGCAGCTCGATGCTTTCTTAGCGGTCATGACGCAATATTCGCCTACTGTCCCGGACGAGCTGGTTGAATTCTACCTGCAGCAAACTGGATTTGCAACGAACGACGTGCGCATGTATGTCGGTACTGTATTTTATAAAAACCTTTTCTTGCATTAAAATAGCGTTAACTCTATTTTTTACCCTATTTGTCTCGCCTAGCACGCGGCTGATCTCATTAGTAGCACACAAGTTCCTGCTGGACGTGACGCACGATGCAATGCAGTACCAACGTATCCGGTCACAAGCTACGTCATCCACGACCACAGGCACGTTATTAACAGCCGTGCAGCCATCTGATGGTATTTCACCCAATGCCAGTCGTGCAGTCCTAACAATGGAAGACCTTGCAGCGAGTTTAAAGGAATATGGAGTGAATATCTGCAGACCTGAGTATGTAAGTGACGTGGTAGAAAAACCCACAAACTAAATGAAGGGAGAACTCTCTCTTGGTGGTAAGAAAACACTATAATTGGGCTTCCAGTTACTAGAGTGGGGAAAAGACAATCAGAGCTCTTCGTGTTCGTCCACAGGCACCTCCTTTTCAATCTGAATTCCCTTTTTCTTTTTCTTCTTGAGGTCCGTGTCCACACTATTGACAATATCGTCCATAAAATTAGTCTTGGTCAAGTCCGTCTTAAGAGCCTTTGGATACTTTTTCAACAGTCGTAGAAACATTGTCGGTTCATCTTCCTTGTACTTTTCCAGTAATGCATCAATAGCTTCTTCTTCAACATCAGCTTCCGGAGCACCATTCTTTTTAAGAAAATACTTCACACGCTCACGAGTAGCAAAAGCTGCATGATCAGTTGGCACACATTCACATGCTTCTTTCTGTGCATCTTCGTATGCCGGACACCCAACCATCTAATTGAGCAAAAGAAAAACGACCATAAAATAAAGCCACTAAGTGGACCAAACACCAAGAAAATGACAGTTGATGTGGTCCACGTACATTCGCACCAATGTAAAAGATTTTGGCGGTAGAGACGCACTCTTCACGTTTCTTGTAACTCCGGAGCTCTCTGCATTTAGCCTTCATACATTTTTGAAGTCGTTTTTCACAGGTGGCTTTTGGCATCCCGCAAACACTATAACACTGTAACAAACAATGTCTTGTCTCAGTTTTCAATTTGAAACAGCTGTTATGATCATCATAACTATACGACTGGGACGTACCGCATCGTGCCAATCACAGCACTCTTGAAAGTCTTTACTCGCACTAATGGACATACCAGATGTACCACAGCCATTGGACGTAAACTCAAAGTCTCTGCAAAAGACAGCAAAGCAAATGAGACATAAAAGGTAGCCATCTAGAAACCTTTTTTTACTTTAGGCTCACTTGACTGGAGCGGGAGCTCGTTTCGGACGACACGAGAATGGTTCACATGGTAGACTGTAGCTGCTTAGGTCAGGAAAGTCCAGTGATGAAGCGGCAATGCCGACCCACAGTGCGCAGCAGACCAGGAACAAACGACAGAAGACCATCCTATTACGTGGTGAGTGATGACAATTGCGCGTATCTTAGGATTATGTGGCTCACATATACCAATCAAATTGGTATACAATTGACATCCAAGACAATATAAATTAAAAGGAGAAATGAAAATAGACCACTTCATCACAGACTAAAAAAAATACCTCAAAAGATGAGAAAATAAGAAAAAGCGTATACTATACATATGGCATAACAGAACTATGTGGTACAGTATATATATCGGCATTACAAGGCATATTTTTAGTACAAAACGGTATTATTATTTTGCGGGCATGACTATTTTTTTATTCCAAATGCGGTTCGCTGGGCGCAACGTCATCATGATAGCTCTCGATGGACACGTCTTTAATCGAAAAAAGTGATCATATTGTTGTGAATGTATCAAAAGTTGACCATCAACCGAGACATCGAGATGAACATAAGAAAACAGAACTTTTTTGAATGCATTTTAGTCCTTCCAGGAACGAAAAGTACCCTATCAATCAAGGACGCGACTCTTCCTACACCGTATCACTATTCTACACATAGTTCTCAAATTAAAACTAATCTTGTCGTGCTTTGTGCATTTCTCGCCATCGCTTAGCCAAGTGTAGATTTCAATCCATATGAACGCAGCTACTTACCAATTTCAGACCCGTAAAGCACCTCGAAGTTTTGAACTTCAACCGCCCATACCATATTCCAGTGCTCAACTCACGAGTAGCCAAGAATGACCGTGGTCAATTGTGGTGAGGACGATAAATCCGGTGCTGGGACATTGGTGGTGACAGTTCCAGTGGTAGTAGTGACAATCGCAGCTTTATACGAAACCACAGCTGCAAAACGTCCGTTCCGTATCCTATAGCCCAAGCCAAAGCCCAAATTAAGCATCGAAACTGTCGACCGAGTACTGAAGCGACCAGCACAGCTCCAAAACACTCCAAGCAGATCAAGTTACAACGGCCAACGATACAGGACGCCAAGCTCATGGAGAAAAACGATGCTATGGCGAACCAGTTCTTTAAGTACAATACTTTTAGGCTGGAGTCTCTGGGTGACAACATCAGTGCAACGTCGTGGATATCGAACGCAGAGAAATCAAATCAAGAAGCTCAGCAATGCTAGAGTCTCTGCGACGCTTTGAGGATGAAGTCACATATCAGTTGTCCTTCGCTTGAAGGTGAACTTGCCGTTTGGATCGAAAGAGTCCGGCAACGACTCGGAGACGTCCAAAAGTTTGTACAACTCTACATGCAGCTTAGACAGTCCCACGATCACGATGGCAATCCCAATCCGCTCTTCATCGTTTTCAGCTCCGAATCAATGGAAATTGCAGCTTGCAATCTCAAAATGTCACGCAAAGCGCGCGAGGAGCTTCCGCTGCTTCAATCCTACATCCAAAGCTCGGAAACTGATCTTGAGTCGCGATTTCTACCTAAAGCAGAGATCGAGAGCAATGTGCACCCTGCCATCAAGACGGGAGTGCGAGAGCTATTTTCGTTGGCGTGGTGGTATCATTCACTTACGTGCTGGAGGTTTCCCTCAATTGGTGAGTATGGCGTTAATAGGCCACTTGGATTCTCCATTGACGTAGCAGTATTTGGATGGCGTGGCACTTTCGACTATGTGCATGAATCTAACTGCTATTGGAGTCGATTTTGGTTTAGCCACAGCAATGGACACGATGTGCTCTCAAGCGTATGGTGCTGGGAATCCGAAAAGCTTGGCATCTATCTCCAGAGTTGCTTAAATGTACTAAGTCTCGCTACGATCCTCGTGTTTATTATCAACTGGTATACGAAGGCCTTCCTGGTCATGATCGGCCAACCTGCGCAAGTCGCAAACTTCGCCGGACACTTCAGTCGGTTGCGCATGAAATATGGGATCAAGCACAACGGAAGCACAACGGAAGCACAACGGAAGCACAACGGAAGCACAACGTAAGCACAACGGACAACAAACGCGCGATTGCTGCACCGTCAAATTCAAAAGACGTAAAGAACGTGAGGTAGATACTCATCATCAAGTTTACGAGATTGCTGATCACAGCAATGTGTACCATGGGTAGCACGACAGTCTGGGCTTGCATCACCTTTTTAACCATCTCGTAGACGTAGGTGGCGGGAATACCTGGGAGCAGAATCTCGCATTCCGCGCAGTGGTCTCCCGGTGGACAAGCGAAAGAAGTGGTGCATTACCTGAGCAACTTTTTGCGTCTTGGTCTACAGGGCGCCGCAATGCTGCTGTTGGAGTGGTGGTCCTTTGAGATCATGGCGACTTGTGTGGGCTTGTTGCCTAACCTGTCATCGCTATCAGCGTGCATTCGGTGTTAGTGAACGTGTCTACGCTTGCTTTGAACTTTTTCTTCGGGATCTCTGTGGCAGCCAACGTCCTTGTGGGAACTAGTCAGCCAGCAACAAGCCACACCACGCGAATATGGTCTCAACGGTGGGTATGATACTATCTGTGTCATTGTCGGCAGTGATCGCTGTCATCATGATTGCTACACGGTATCTCATTCCGAAGCTTTTTGTATCAACGATGCAGTATGTGTTGGAATGGCTGAACCCGCACAATGATATGCACTCGTTCACAACTGTAACAGCTTCAAGTGAACGGCTCATTCGGCTGATCAAAGATATCAAACACAATACTATTGAAGGGCTGAACGACTGGGAAAACCAAACGATGTTTTGAAGGTACAGCAGCATTCATATTGAATTTGCAAAACGCACAAGCGTTCAACTCCTCAGATGCGACGAAAAAAAAACATGCAAACGATAGGAGCTGATCGACAAAACACGGTCATCAGGAGCTGATCGACAAAACATCGGTCGTCATTCCAGCGGCTCGAAGAGAGGTTGGCTTATCCTTGCAAAAAGGAAGAACCGCTTCAAGCGGTTTAATCGAACGATCCGCAAGTACAGCCACTTAGCTTGTGCGCATGCGTGCGGCGTCAGCCATATCCTTCCAGTTGATCTAACAGATATTGACGAACGACACGATACTGCCAAAGAACATGCCTGCCGTGAGGCCGAGCCACATGCCTTCCACACCCAATGTCCATCCGAAACGCGAGGTACACGCCAAAAGGGGAGACCGATTACGAAGTATGCGAACACATTGATATAGGCGCCAAGCGTAAGCCGCCCTGTGCCACAAAACGTCCCTTGCATGACGGCATTGATGGATCGCACATTTGGTACGGCACCAGAGACAGTCATTTCTGCTTTCAAGCCTACGCTGCTTGCTTAGGATGGAGCAAGTAATGTGTTCGGTCACCTTGATCTCTCGTGTGCAATATCACTGACGCCTTCAAGTCTGGCCAGTAGACTTGATCGTTATTTGCTTACAAGCGAACAGTATCTCAGCCTGTTGACGAATTGAAGAAGGTCAGAATCGAAATCATACGTCATGTAGATTCACAGCAACTGTCCGATTCATGAGCAGTTGCTGTGAATATCTATGCAGACACGACACCTTCGCTCACCGTAATAGTCTTCAATATTCAAAGTAGAGGTGGTTCAGACCAGACTTGAGTTATTCGTGGTGCTACGACAGAAGATCATCATCGAGTTTCGAGCTTTTGTGATAACAAGCGTTCGGAACGGCCACACCATGGAAGATTTAGCGAGGCATGACGAATCCGCCAGAACTCCTTTCCAACGCGGTGTTACTTCGAGATTCGACGCAGTCTAACTTAAGTACATCCCTGCCTAGAAGCAAGACGGTCATTATGATATTTGCCTCTGATAGCAGAGACAATACCAAGACCAGTGACCATCTCTAAGTTCCTGCCGCCTCTCCAAATTCCTCCGTTGGACCAAACACTGCTACGAAAGCTAGCGACGTCAATAGTCACGCACAACCTGGAGCAATACAACAACCTGTGCACCAATAAGGACGGCCACCCCGACAGTCGAGTCTGGAAACCAACTCGCACGGCCGACAACATTTGAATCCTTTGAGAACGTCCTAGCTCTGCTGACGAGTCTGCAGCAGAAATTCCGTCGCTGTCACTCTTGGGCTCAGTGGTCGGCAAGGTTGACGATATTATGTTTGCCGTAGTCACACCTACGGATGAGTCTCTGAAAATCAAGTCTGCCTTCTTCTGAGACGGAGTTGTTGATAGCAAAGTGCTCCAGGAACTTGTGTGCCCCACCGTGAACGAAAGAACATCAAGCTCGTCGCCATTCTTTATCAGATGATGATCCATATGCGTAGCATCATACGTTTCAAACTTGGTCTTGATCTCGACGAAGATCGGCGAACTTGCACAAGTAGTAAACTAATGGATAGGGTGTTCGATGCTATTCGGTGTCGACACTAAGCCGGTCAAACTCAACAGCAAGCCGTCGACGTACCTGATGATCATGTTGTCAGACAGCAGAAACTAATGCTATTAACGTCAAGGACACACTTAAACGCGAATGGTACAGGAAAAAATTAAATGTTACTTTGCTCTGACGTCGCCCAACATTTACTCAAACATTTTCGGCTAACTTTGAGAGCTAGTCCCATCGGCAAGTGCGAAAAAGGACTGACGATTTCGCTTCAGAGTCAAGCTGGAAAGCAATAGGCGGCTTACCTCTGCCGGACACCTGCTGCCACCATGGCAAAACTCGATACGCTCATGGATATGCTTTGAACACGAGTTTCTAGGGTCCAAGCATTTGCGTTATCAAGCAGCCAACGCATAAGAGCGACAGGACTTCGACCGCACCGCCGAGTGAGAGGATTGCAAAGGATCGCTTACTAAAAATATACAACATGCTTGCTTACTATGTTAATATAAAGAAGTGTCTTGTTTTGATGACAATGTACGATAATGCATGGCAAACAATACAGTCATTGTTATTAAAAGTGGTAAAATGATATTATCTACCCTTGCAGTATACATGCCTGTTCTCAACACCCTCATTAAAATCTCACTTTTTTACCGTTTTGATCGATACCGTTTGTATACCATCCAACAAAGCTCTTTGTCAATCTCCCAGAGCTTCCAGCAGGTTGGAGAAGATTCGTACTGATGGCTCGACTAGCATTATTCGCCACGTCGACGTTGCCGTTCACGTGCATTTTCAAAAGGGAGACTCCGACTTCCGTTTCAATGGGTTCTTATGCTCAAAAGCATTCAGGTAGTCACGGAAAGTCTCGATCAAATAACGATCTTCTCGCGTTTTATTATTGCGAAGAAGATGATCTATCAGCCACTCCAGGTAAACCTCGTCCTCAGACTTTTCTTTCGCCTGTTTTCCGTTATTAAGTAACTTCATGTACGTTTGCAATCCTCTTAAAGGCACTGTTGAAATCAGTTTACCCTACTCCACAGTTGAAAGCTCTTACCCTTCTCCACAGTTGATAGCTCTTTACCCTTATCAACAGTTGAAAGCTCTTTACCCTTCTCCACAGTTGAAAGCTCTTTACCCAACTCCACTGTTGAACGCTCTTTACCCTTCTTAAGCGCTTTCTCAAAATGATCGAAAACATCAGAAAGAGAAAGTGGGGGCTTTTCATTAGCCCATGACTCGAGGATCTCGTCTAGCATCACCCTTCCCACTGTGAGGATATATTATTGTTCCATGTAAGATCTTCTCAATCAACTTTTCTTTGGAATAAGGCAAACAGGCACTCAGAGTTGTTTGATGCTGTGGGTACAAGTCGTTGTAGGCGTCCACGTAAATATTCCATTGTGCCAACTTCCGGTTAACAAACTGATCATCCTTATTAACAACCATCATCTCTTTGTAAGCTTTCGTCGGTTCTTTCATTGTATGCAGCCACTTCAATAGGGTAGGATCTGATTTTTTTCTTAAGACAACGAGACGTTTCAAGAAAAGTGTAGCCAGATTATCATCGCCGCAAAAAGCCTTGAGGGTTTCTTTGAGCTTATCTTCAAAGTTGTAACGGCCCGTTCCGTCCGATAATTGCATGGCAAAATTCCACTTTTCCAAATTCATGCTGATCAAAAGACGGTTCGCCAATCTGTCCACCGCTTTGTGAATTCCTAGCACCATTAATAATTCGACTGGTGATTTTTCAGATTTGAGCCAAGCCTGAAGGCCTTTAGTACTAGACATCGACTCGCTGTTGGAATTCTCGTTTTTCAGGTTCCAGCCATCCAGCAATTTGTCGAGATTCTCCTTTGCCTCATACGTCCCGCCTTCCTTCAATTTCTTAAATTCTTCACCTTTGGGCGTCTTCAGTTGAGATGTGAACGACGCAGATATTTCGTTCCAGTCATTCAGCATCTCAAGCTGTTTATCTTCGCTTGTGATTGACTTGGTCAATGGTTCCTGCTCCTTCAGCAACTCAAGTAATTCCATTATAGGCTCCTTCTCGCTTTCGACTGACTCGGCCAATTGTTCCTGCTCCTTCAGCAACTCGGGTGTTACGTCTTTATTGGCTAGGTCGTATACTTGTTTCCAAAAGTTAGTTTCCGGCTGCAAAATTTTTTTTGATGTTTGCAGTATGTCACTAGGTGTGGAGCCTCTTTCGCTTTCATCTGCTGCTTGCTTGTCCGACCTCAAATGTCTCTTGATTGGGACTCCAGGCAGATAATGAGGTAGCTTAGGGTTGCTCCAGGATGGCGCTGCATGCGAGCTAGCGACTCGACTGGCAGCCATAGCCACACATAGCGTGGTGAAGTGAAGGTGCATAGTTGTAAACGTGGATTGTGGAGTTCTTACGCCAATCGAGGTAATCGGAAAGTGACGTCAGAGGGAATGAGTCTCTCGAAACGTCAGGTATACGGCTCGATATCTGTCGTACCTTTGAATGAAGGCAGTTTACGGATGGGCAAGAAGCACTTGTTTTTCTATATACTGTCTGCTAATCTTATACTTATACTTTTATTATATAAGAACGGGTAAAAAAGACTATAACACTGATTACTGAGGAGATACCTGCAATTTGCATTAGTATTCACCTCCTTGAGGCACACTAATGGCGCGTAGTGATTAAACACTTCAACAAATAGTCTCAAGTTGATTCTCGCTGTGTCTATGCGCAAATTGATGTAGATTCGGAGGCAAATAATCGCTCTTCAAAGCCAAACAAAAGAGTATGATGTTCGTGAAAGAATGCATTGTTGAAAAGTAGTGGGAAACTTTGAAAGCCCGCGATGGACCATTTATCATTCGCATGGATGAGCCAAATACAACACCAACGAAATGTCTATGTCAGAGGCATGGCCGCAACTGGCTTTGACGGATTGGTATGTCCGTATATAAAGGAGAATGTCTTAGCTTAGTACCCTGTCTATCCAATCTTGTCGACACAACACAGCCAACAGAAACGTCCTCTAAAGAAAAAAGACAACTTGGAACCTCATCCATGTATGACAGAAATGATGTGTCTCCGCATATAACATGTAAACTTGTCGAGTGGAATTGGCAGTTCAATTCTCAGCACTCCTAAATATTCATCTTCCATTTCTGCACGTACTATACAGGCTCAAATTGGCCGATACTCTGCCAGAAAGATCACTGCCATCCTGTTTATGATCAGCCTCCGGGCGTTTGTAGTCTTCTTCAATGATGTGCCCTAGTGCCAATTTTACCCGCCTGTATTCTGGACGTGATACCTTTCCCGTTAGATTGGTGCTGGATGTGATATAGATTGGTGCTGGCCGTTAAACTTGTGCGCAGGCCTGCAAATCTTTCTTCACCCTCGTGTAAAATTCTGGCCTACGTCAGCATCTACGTCTGTATCTTTTTTACCGTGCTTTCTTTCTCTCGTCTTCTCTGGTCATGGTGATCAAAAAGCGGCGGTAGAAAATGTCTACTCCGAAGAAGCAGAAGTACAGCTTCGTGCGCTCTAGAGCTCACGATAATCTATTGACACGCACAGCAACGCCAAGCACAAGGTCATTGGTCGTCCGGTGGAAGGTACAGGCCCGCCGCACGTGCTGAATTTAAGCATGAGGAGAAAGAGAAGATGGAGGAAAGACATTCGTCGCTGATCGAAGAATAGAACGTTACGCTCAACTAGCACTGTGCGCAAGGATGGTCATATGCTCAAATTGGTTGATCAGCTCATGAGCAACCTTCGGACGCGTACATAGCATTCCAGGCAATGACTGGGCGTATTATCCGACGGAGCAATGATCTTGTCATTGTTGCGTCCGAATGGCCGGCCAGAAACGGTTGGGAGTCATTTGAGAAACACGCCACATGCTCCGTTATCATCGAGTACAAGGATATCGTATCTAAGCCTGTGGTACCTATAAATGGTAACAGCGAGCACCGCATGAATATGAAGTGCCTCAACACCGCAATGTATATCGTGTCGCTCGCTGTGCCAGAGTGATAGATCGGATACGCGACATGGTTGCGAAGGAATCCGTATACTGCTTCACTCTTCTGCATGCGCAAGTCTATGGAATTCCGTATCATCTACGACTACCGCGACATAGTTCGACAGGGTGTGCTGATGGAGGATGTTTTCGACAGCATTGCTGGTGAGTACTGCATGGACCCGATGTCTGTGTATACCAAGTGTGAATAAATGGATACACAGTATTCCAGGCACTAGTATACTTATCTTACCATTAGAAGAGTCGATCCTTTAGCAGACTTTGTCATTGTTCGAGGGTTTGTCACACACACGTGCTTATTCCATGATGTGTGATCTACACGTTTACGAAGCTGAAAATACGTTGCGGGATACCTGCATGCCTAACGCACGCAGCGTGTTGAAGAACAAGCTGTAGATAAAGCTGTCCATGTGTGTGTTCTGCGCTGCGATCTCGTGTCTAAGAATGATTTCATCTGGCGAAATGGTGCTCGCAACTAAGATAGAATGCAGCGAATCGAGATTGGTCTGTTTTACGGACGCAGAACTACTTCAAGCTTTCGTGGGCTGACTGTGTAAGCTGCAACGATCCTGCGAGTAGAACACCTTCACGCTTCAAGCTTAAAGACAAAGAACCAGCGGAAAGTTGAAGATCATGTTCTATACGATGGTCCGCACGGTTCAAGTGATCGTGAAGCGTAGACAATTAACTCCCGGGTGACCCCATTGCATGTGCGGGTAATTAAGCCGCAAGAGCACCAGAGTCGTGGTGAAGACGAGCGAGCATCTGGATATGATCGGCGACGCAATGCTCCTGTCCTTCTAGAAATATTTTGCCAGAGAAGCGCATGAATTTGTGCGAAAAAAGAAGACGTCACGTGTAGAAATGTAAGTGCCTCGTCTTTTTCGTTGCCGTGTCAGTATCGCGTGTTGCGTCACCGAGAACTCCTTCGTATTGGACATCCGACAGGTAGAATTCAAGTCGACATCTTGATTGGTTAATGCGTGGTGTTCCTTTTGCGAAAGAGTACTGACATTGCTTGCGATAAGCGAGGGTGACTGCCAAAGTTGTTTGACGACAAGTAGACCGGATGCATCTGCTGCACACTGATTACACAGGCGCCATTAGCATGGACCTCATACCCCTGCTGGGTGTCCTAAAGTGCGTCCGTTGACCTGATTATAGACATAGATGTATAGCTCTCGCCCTTGTTGTTGGTGTGCTGTAGGAAACGTAAGCGATCCCATTGTCAGCATGAGTGTGCAACTAAGGGTCAATGATGCTCGGGCCAATGGTGAATGTGCTTCGTGGAGTGATGTATGCTGCCAGTCGTGACGCTGCGGATAGTACGGGACTGGGCAAGAAGACAAGATGATACTAGGAGAGCTTTGTCTTGGGCCATTCCGACTACTTGTGCAAGTTCGCCGACAAGACCAAGTTTGAAACGTATGATGCTACGCATATGGATCATCATCTGATAAAGAATGGCGACGAGCTTGATGTTCTTTCGTTCACGGTGGGGCACACAAGTTCCTGGAGCACTTTGCTATCAACAACTCCGTCTCAGAAGAAGGCAGACTTGATTTTCAGAGACTCATCCGTAGGTGTGACTACGGCAAACATAATATCGTCAACCTTGCCGACCACTGAGCCCAAGAGTGACAGCGACGGAATTTCTGCTGCAGACTCGTCAGCAGAGCTAGGACGTTCTCAAAGGATTCAAATGTTGTCGGCCGTGCGAGTTGGTTTCCAGACTCGACTGTCGGGGTGGCCGTCCTTATTGGTGCACAGGTTGTTGTATTGCTCCAGGTTGTGCGTGACTATTGACGTCGCTAGCTTTCGTAGCAGTGTTTGGTCCAACGGAGGAATTTGGAGAGGCGGCAGGAACTTAGAGATGGTCACTGGTCTTGGTATTGTCTCTGCTATCAGAGGCAAATATCATAATGACCGTCTTGCTTCTAGGCAGGGATGTACTTAAGTTAGACTGCGTCGAATCTCGAAGTAACACCGCGTTGGAAAGGAGTTCTGGCGGATTCGTCATGCCTCGCTAAATCTTCCATGGTGTGGCCGTTCCGAACGCTTGTTGACACAAAAGCTCGAAACTCGATGATGATCTTCTGTCGTAGCACCACGAATAACTCAAGTCTTGTAACGGGGTGAGCCCGTTACATAATATTGACACTTATATGAAGTGTCAATAAAATATTATTATGACTAATAATATTTTGACAATATTACCTTTTCTAATAATATTGTTCCTAGATCTCCTTGAAGTTGAAGATGCCCTCTCATTGGTTGATATGGGCCATCATATCAACCAACGCGCTGACCAATGACCGATGGACGCGCGCAATGAGTGGAGGGCAAGTCGTCAACATACATAGTTGTAGTTTAATATAGTTAACATAGGTTATAACAGATAAGTTTTATTAAGATAGTGTAATGGGGCACCCTCCGACTATACTGATTACAGTATAGTCTACTTTCACTGATTACAGTGAAAGCAGGTGCCTCAATTACCTCTCTTACACAAGAGGCAGAGGAAGCTTTACTTCTAAACAAACGCTTAGAAGTAGAGGAAAAGAAAACTGTATTTAATATAGTTAACTATCTTAATAAAACTAATCTGTTATAACCTATGTTAACTATATTAAACTACAACTATGTATGTTGACAACTTGCCCTCCACTCATTGCGCGCGTCCATCGGTCATTGGTCAGCGCGTTGGTTGATATGATGGCCCATATCAACCAATGAGAGGGCATCTCCAACTTCAAGGAGATCTAGGAACAATATTATAAGAAAAGGTAATATTGTCAAAATATTATTAGTTATAATAATATTTTTATTGACACTTCATATAAGTGTCAATATTATGTAACGGGCTCACCCCGTTACATCACCCCCCCCTCAACCAACAGTCACATTAGTGACTGTTTAGTGACTATGGGAAAGGAGAACTTGTTGAATTTTCTTTCATTCAACAATTACGCTATGACAAAGTCAATGCGCGTCGCTGCTAAGGCAGCCAAGAGCTCGGCTGCACGCCTGTGTGCAGCCGCTACTGAGGCTTCACAGCCTCAGCCAGCAGACACTAATGTGTCTGCTGGAAGTCAACATCAGCCTGCAACGCCTGTTGCAGGTTCACGTAGCGCTTCGCCACGTGAAGATGTTGACCCAGAGTTAGTCGTTGACTACTCTGGTGAGTCGGATGACGCATCCGGCTCAAAGTCACCTATTCCACTCCCGGGCTCTCCCCGGGGTGATACCTCGTCGTCTAATGCTACGAAGAGGGATCGTGGTACATTGAGTGAATCAATGTACCGTGAAATGTTCGGGTCGTCTGATGAATCAGACGACTCGCCAAACGAGTCGAAGGATAGTGACTCGGGTGGGGACCGTAAGGGTGATGTCAGTGCTTCTACTGACATCAATGCTCATAGTGTCGGTACTTCTGTTGACACTAATGCTCGTGGTGTCGGTACTTCTGTTGACACCACGCAGGAGGCTTTAGACCGCAACGTATTGCGTCTTGCTCCTGATCGCAAGCCATGGATGCTACCTAAGCATCTGCTTGATCGTTGGTCTGGAAAGACCAACGAACGGTTCCCCATACCGTTGTTTGATGCGTCAAAGCTTCATGGCCTTGACGCCAGTGCGAAGAACTTTCGCACTGAGAACGATTATTACATCGATGTGTTCCTTGAACATCGATGGTATGGCCCACACAAGAAGCGTGAGGCTGACGCGTTCCTCCAATCTTGGAACGCGTTTATCACCAACGTTTTAAACGTTGGGAAAGAGGCTTGGTTTCAAAGACTTTATGCTAGCCGCAATAAGTTTGAGAAACGAAGTACGTCCGGTGCATGCTATCGTTTGCACCGGTTATCTAGAGAGGCAGGCCTGTTATGCCTCTCTTGGGGCGACCCATGCCCGGGGTGCCTGAGCACCTCGTCAAGAGCGCCTAAGGAGGCGTACCTCCTTACTGAGCCCTGGTGGAGGGCTCGCATCTCTTCTGAGATGCGTGAAGGGATTGCTACTTTGCAATCCCTTTACGAGCGCGCTGGGCGCTCGTTTTCCGATGGTCCTTCACCATCGGGTGCCCCTTGTCGTACTGTTCGACAAGGCCGGGAACGTCGGCCATCAGTTGGGCCCGAGGTTCCCAGCTATCCGCCGAAGGCGGATAGCCACGCCACCGGACGAGATAACTCGTCCGACGTCCCTTCACCTCGCGGTGCTTTAGTAAGCGTTCCACGAGGAAGCGCTTCCCACCATGGGAGTCCACCAGCGGATGCGGTGGTGGAGGAAAAACCCTGTCCGATTCTTTCATCGGACTTGGCTGCTGAGTTAGACGGGTTTGCCCGTGTAACTCGTGAGCTCCGTTGTGATGTTGATCACGAACGGGATAAGCGTCGCCGCTTAGAGGACATTGTGCGACAGCTTGGGTTTGACCATGAGAAGTCTCGGGCAAACAATGCTGTCGCACTATTGGAGAATGAACGGCGGCTTCATTCTCTAAGTAACGAGCTGGCGACAGCTCGTCAGGAGATCGTCCAATATCATGGGACGATCTCATCTCTACACGACCAGGTATCGAATCTGGTTCGTGACAACAAGAATCTGAAGGGGATTCTTGAGAGTAATGGCTATCTTCGTCGTTCGAAGAAGCCGCGTACTGAACGTACGGACGAAGACGTCCCACGTAAAACGTAGGATGCGTACGCATCCTGCGTGGCAACTCGATCGTGTATGCGTTGCCTAGGCGGCGCAATACACGAAACGGGCCGATGTACTTGGGCAACAATTTATTGCTGCCCACGTTAGTCACTACATGTTTAGGTAGGTTTACTGTTGACAGTAAAACTAAATCACCTTCAATAAATGTCTGAGCATTTGCCCTTCCATTATTGTCTGCGTTTCGCTTTTGCTTATCCACCGCTTCTGCGATGGAGTCTTGCACGAAACGGACTACCGCTTCACGAGTCAGCAGGAAATCCTCAGCTGACTCGTTGCTTTTGGCTGCAGTGCATTGTGAGTGCACTGCAGAGATATCGGTTACTAATTCAGCGAGAACATTACTGTTCTCACTTGTGATACCTCGAACGATGCTGATATCTTCAGCATCGTTATCAGTAAGAGCGTCATCGCTCTTACTTTCTTCCTCTTCACCGAAGTCGAATGGTACGACTTCGGTTACTTTCGCGTCGACCAT